GATCTCATTTGATCATCATATCCTGGTAGCCTCTCTTCTGATCCCCACTTAACAGATAAGAAAAAAACCCCTCAAAACAGTGAAAGCACTAACATACTGGTTCTCAAGTGGGAGCAATTTTGTCCCTCAGGGGATGCTTGACAATGTCTAGAGACATATTTAGTTGCACGACTGGGAGTAAGGGGAGGTGCGCTACTGGCATTGAGTGGGTGGAGGCTCGGAGCACTGCCCAACAGCCTACAGTGCACAGGATGGTTCCCAACAAAGAATTATCTGGGCCAGAATGTCAATAGTGCTGAGGTTGAGAAATTGAAGCCTGACTAACCCAGGGACACTTGGATTCTAGGCTCAGAATCAAACCCAAGTCACTCCACTCAACGTAGCTGAGCCTACTCTGGATATGCGACGCAGCGCAGCCAGTTAGGAGTGCCACAGCCAAGACCCAGGAAGGCAAGCAGCCTGAGAGCTGGAGGAGAGAGGAGCCCGACCACTTCAGGAGCACCGTGAACTTGGGCCAATTTCACCCTCAGTCAAGTGCATTCCAGAGCAAGCCCCTTGCAGATTCCTGCATAAATTCTTGGCCCTGGTGGCTACTGCTTCAGGGGACCTAGGGACGTCTGTGGCTCCACGCCCAGGGTCCCAACTCCATTTCTATCTGTTTGCCTGGCATTTGCTGTACAAAATTGGAAATTAATAATTCATCCTGCAGAATGAATAATTCAACAGAGGGGACAGAGGGCTGCCAATGATGTTTGGCATCACAAAAATAGCCCATGTTGCCCTCTAAACGGAGAGGGTAAAATAGACTCTGCAGGCTGGTACCTGAATGAAAATGACTCTAATACTAGACAGCTTAAACAAGCCCTCCTTTTAGGCATGGGAAATTAATGAGGACATTGGGAGTGCCAGAGGGAATCTGGGACCCTGTTCCTCCTCCCCACAACACTTTCAGTCTCTTAAACCATCACCGTTTATTATAGCCAGGTTAACTGGCACTTATTCCAGGAAGCTTTCCCTAAACTGAAGCTGAAAATGCATTTCTCTCTGGACCCATGAGTTAGCCACTTGGCCCTGACCACTGCCAGCCCCACAGCGTCACATTCACCTGTGTTTCTGTCCCCAGGGATTCTTGGGCTGTGGGGTGGCTTTTCTAGCTAGAAGGGAAGAAAAGGTTTATCAGAGAGCTGAAGTGAGTGGTTTTTAGTATTTGGGGGATCTTGCTCCTTTGAGGACCTGATGAAAATCTTGTAGTCTCACTATTGAAAAAATTTCCTCAAAAAATCTTCATAAAATTCAGGAGATACATAGATCCTGAGAGCCCCTTCATGAACTTGTCTTTAGAATTCCTTCCCTGTCAGGAGTCTTCTCGTAAAGAGAAGGACTGCAATTGTCCAGAGCATGGAAAACAGCTCAGCCCCTCAGCCTTGCACGTCCTTGAAATGGCCCTGTCCCAGGCATCACTCACCAAGTAAGTGAATAGTCAGCAAGGAACTATCAGATACCCTCTGCGTGACCTTGGGCAAGTCATTGGCCATCTTTGGGCTGCATTTTCTTTACTTGGAATTAGAATAGTTGGTCTAGATTAATCTCAGTGCTCTAATTCAATCATTTATTCAGCAAATATTCTTTGCACCCTATTAGGTGCCAGGTACCAAGCTAAGAACTTGGAATGAGGTTGGGGTACAAAATAGATGAGGTCCCCAACTTGTTAGAATGCATAATCCAATAAGGTTGGCAATCATCGACTAAATAATCACCCAAGAAACACAGGATGAGCTGTGATCACACAGGGGAAGTGCAGGGAGCTAGATAGGAATGTGTATATCAGGGGAACAATTATAACCTGAGGAAAGAAAAAATGCAGAGGATGCTTCACCTCAGTAAGGGGAGCATGGGGAACATTCCAGAGGAAGCAGCATAGGCTGGTGCCCTGAAGTGTGAAGGGGCCCAGTGGCTGCACTCTGGAGTCCTCTGGGGATGGTACATCCCAGGAACATGAAAGGCTAGGGTTGCCCTTTTTTCATGATAGTCAAGGCATCTATATTCTAGTAGCTTTGTTTTCATGCCCTCCCAAGGAAAGAGTTGACAATATTCCATTACATTGAAACTTCAGGTTTAATGGTTAAAAACCAACCTTTCCTAGTCCCGGAGTAGCTGGAGGTGTCTTTTGAAAGTCCCATCCTCATAGATCCTAAATTAAATGTAAGAGATGCTACCAAACAAAAAACATTTAGTCTTGAGGCAAAGCAAAGCTCTTCCTGCCCTAGCCCTCTCTCCAATTTAAACCACATCCCAGCCTTTGAGGAATTATTTCTACCGCCTGGTTCTGTGGCTCCATTGTCTTACACTGATGACTAAAGAAAGGCCTGGACATGCCAATTGCCACTTTGATGGGTAGTCTGAGTGCAGAGTCTCCAGGCTGCATGCAGCAGACAGAGCTACCCTTTCATTTCCCTGGGTGGGGCTTGAATAGGCCAAATTCCAGTGCCTATTCTGCCACCTACCAGCTGCTGAGCAACTCTGGGCAAGTCTCATTCCTTCTCTGGGCCTCAGAGTTCTCATCCATGAAATGAGAGATTTGGACTACATGTTTGATAAGGTTCTTTCTCTTCCCTCTTCTTTTTAAGATGTGTTAACTGGGAAACTATTCCATCTTTCTAACTATTGTTCCCAGACTAGAGACAGAAGGCAAGACAACCACTATTAGTAAATTATAATGAGTGGATAATTAGCTGCCTTCAAATTATGCCATTCTTCTTGGAAGTCAAGAGGCTTAGTTTTGAAGTTATTTATCATTACCATCATTTAACAGTATTTTCTCACAGAAACCCAGAGGGGTAGGGAAGAATGACAAGCAGATGTTTTGTTATTAGAGGCCCTGGAGGATGATTTGAGATGTCACTGAAGCGATCATTCTCTAGATTCTTAATTCAGCAGAAGCTTTGATGAACTTGACAGAGGGCAGGGGAATTGGACAGCCATAGAATGGACGGCTGTTGAGAGAAAGTCCAGCTTCACAGAAAGCTGCTAGGTACAGTAGTTCCTAGCCAGGTATAGTGTGGATTATCAAATTAGTATTTTTATGTAACACTCTGAAAAAAGATTTCACGGCCATTATTTCATTTTATCATGAGGATATTTTGCTACCATCTGAGCTCGGACTACTATCATCTCCCACATGAATCTCTCTCATTGTGTAGTCTCTCTAGCTGTAGCAGATGACCCGTAAAAGTGGCCACCAAAAATCTACAGAGGTGGAAAGTAAATCAGTGGTTGCCCATGGATTGGGGGGGAGAGCTTGTTCAGAGCTTGCCTTGTAACTTGCTTTGGCCAATAGAATGTGGAGGAAATGATGTATAAGTTCCAATGCCTAGGTTTGGAAAGTTCTGGCAGCTCCCACTTTTACCCTCTTGGGACCCAGCCACCATATAAAGAAGCCTGGGCTAAAACTAGGGTTTTTCAAACTGAGCACTATTGACATTTTGGACCAAATAATTACTTGGGGTGGTGAACTATCTGGCACATTATAGGGTTTGGGGGGGCATCCTTTACCTCTACTCACTCTATGTTCCACTTGTGACAATTAAAAATGTCTCCAGGCTTTGCCATGTGCCCCCTGTGGTAGAAAATCACCCCTGCTTGAGAACCACTGGAGTAGACTACTGAGGCGCAGCAAACCATGTGATGAAAGAGGCCCAGCCAGCTGCGAGCTATTCCAGCCACTCCAGCTGAGAAGCCAGACATATGAGTGAAGCTGTCTTAGATGTTTCACCCTCAGTGGGACCCACAGATGAATGTAACCAAATGACAACCCTAGATGACATCACATGGAACAGAAGAACTGAGCCTGGTCAATTCACAAAATCATGGGAAATAATGTATCATTGCAAGCCACTGAGTTTTGGGGTAATTTGTTAGGCAGCAATACATAACTAATATTATACCTAACCCCTTCCAATCCATTTCTGGTTCAGAGCTCATCTCCCTACCACCTAAGCCTTCTGTATTTATCACATTGCCTCACAGCTATTGATTTTCTTGCTACCCCTACATTGTAACCTTCTTGAGGACAAGCACTGTGCTTGTCATTCCTTGTGGCTCCCGTGCAGGCAGTAGGGTCTGCCACTAGGAGGGTGCTGGATAATATCCCATGGCCCCCAGGTCTGTATCGTGTGTTCCATTAGGGGCTTCTATAACACCCTCATGACAATGATGGTGGTGGTCTTTGAATCCTTACTATGTGTCAGGCACTGAGATTAGACCAGGGTTGTGTATTTTAAACTAGCTTTCTGTGACGATTCTGATACAGAGGCAGGCTTGGGAACACTAACCCTACACAATCTCAGACATTCTGTGCAAAAATTGCATCTTCTCTTAAGATAGCTACACATAGCCTTCCTGTTTTAAACCACAAAAACAAAACTTTTGTATTGCATACATACAGAAAAGTGCATAGCTCATAGGTGTACAATTTGATGACTTTTCCAAAGTGAACACATTTACGTAACTACCCCAAAATGAAGATGGAGAATGTCCCCAGCCTCCTATGTGGCCCCTCCTAGTCACTAGCCCCGAGGTACCCACTGCCCTAACCCCATCACCACTCGTCAGTTTTACCTGTCATAGAGCTTCCTATAAAGAAAATTGCGGTCTGTGCTACTTCATCTGCTTTCCTTGGCTCAACATCATGTTTATGCTTTTGTTAAAATTGTTCTTCTGGTTTGAATTTGAAAAACGATGACTGAGATTAAAAAGGTCGGACGTAGGAGCCTGGAAGCCTGGGAAGCTGGGTACTAAACTTGGATTTTTCAAGCGGTGTACCGCAACCGGTACTCCGAACACCTTCCATACTTACTGGGCGGCAGGGGGCGTGGCTAAAAGGAGGTGAAAAGCCAGGCTTTTTAACGTGGGGGCGGAGTCCTAAGTCTGGGGGCGTGGCCCCAAGACCTGCTTCCAGGCGGCAGTTGGTGCCATGGGCGGGGTTGGGTCTAGGCTTCCTGTCTGAGCCTACGGAATAGCCATTTGGCCCCGGAAGTGCGGTTCGCTGGGAACTGTCGCCGTGGACGGCGGCGGCGGCGGCTCGGCGCCGGTAGTGGAGCTGCCGAGGTGAGTGCGTGGCTGGGCCGTGCCGGATGGCGGGCACCGGGCCTGGGAGGACCCTCGGCTGTGCTCAGGCGGCCTTGGGCTTCCCCGCCTCCACGGGGCGGCCGAGGCTTAGCTGCCCAAGGAGCCTTGAGTCGTCCCTTGAGGCCAGGCCGCGGGAGCCGGGAGTCTCGGGTTCGAGGCTCGGCCCCAGAGTGACCATGGACGAGTCACGGTCCTCCCATCCAACCTCCGGTCTCCAGTTTCTTAAGCTTCATTCATTCTTTCAACAGATGTATGTTTAGCCCCTCCTACGTACTAGGCACAGATCTCGGCACTGGGGATAGAAACAGCAAGACAGACAAGGCTCCGGCCCTCCTGGAGCATACAGTCTAGTGGGAGGAGACAGTCGACCACAAACGCAAAAGATATTTAAAGATGTGATAGTAATTGAGGGATTGAATATTTTAGATAGGGCAGCCCGGGAAGGTCTCTGAGGAAAGTAATTGAATTGAGACCAGAAGAGTGATGACAGAGAAACTGAGGCAGCAGTAGCCTCTGGGGATGCCCCCGGATCTTACTGTAATTGGTGCTTGCACCGAGCTCACCTTCTAAGGAAAGCCCTTTCCTAATTTTTGGCTTCTGCTGCCTTGCTTGGAGATGCAAGGCTGAGGATGCAGTAGTGGGCACAGACGTCATGGTCATTGTTCTTATCCATTTGGAGCATAGAGTCGTCTTTGCCTGGTTAACTTCTACCCATACTTTAGATGAAAATATTTAAATCTTCCTTGACATCCTCCCTCAAGTCAGTTCTCTCTATTAAATGCTCTCATAGCCCCATAGGCCTTTCCTGCATAGCATACATCACAGTGTTGAGTTTTACTTGTTTATATAGCTAATTGATCCAGTGTGTCTTTCCCATAAAGACCATAAACTCTATGAAGGGCAGGACCAGGTCTACTATTTGCCCACCTTAGTATTCTCTGGGCCCCAGTGCCTGGCACATGCTCAAAAAAATCTTTGTATGAGTGAGATGATTAACATAGTTTTGCCCTCCAGTGGTTCACAGGAGGTCTCTCCTACCACTGGGTTATTGTCTTCTCTCTCTGGTCATGTCTGTCTCCTATTTACATGACTCCTCACTGCCTTCAGATGACAGGCTGGAATCTGCAGCATAGCATTTGAGGCTTTTTAAAAAATGACCCCATCTTTCCTATCCAGCCTCTTCTCTCTACTTCTGTCATTCCCTCCCTGACCATGTATTTTCAACCATACCAAATGTCTCTCTCTTCCTCCAAAGCCACAGGTTCCAAGCTTTTGTTCATGCTTGTTTTTTTGCTTGGAATGCCCTTCCTTCCCATCTTTTCTTCCTATCCTCCAGTAACCAGGTTATAGGTCATCCTCCCTTTCTCTGCTGTACTCGTTTTGGAACTTCCCTGTTATAGCTCTAACAACACCAAATGATAGTCATTTATGTGCCCAGGACTCAGCATGTATTTGGTCTGTGTTTGCTGAGTCAATGAGCAAGTCTAAAGAGCTCTGCCTATGACTGGGACTTGAATAATAACGACAGTAAACTTTATTGAGTGCTTGTCATGCCGAGCACTGTGTTGAACACTTAGCATTAATTATTTCTCACATCAACCCTAAGAGATTACGTACTATTGCCATCCCGATGTTACAGATGAGGAAGTCAAGACTTAGGTTAAGGAACTGTCTCAAGGTCTCAACATGGGTAGGAAAAGGTGGAGTTAGGATTTGAACCCAGGCTGCAGAATTAGAAAGCTCTCTTTTCAATCACCACACTGGCCTAGGTCTGAACTGTCCTTACAGGCACTGGCTTGTTGGTGTAGATTTCTTCTGAAAACAGTTCTTTTCTCTGCCTGTCTAGGTCTAGACTCTGGGGCCTAGAATTTAAATGGTGGAGAGCCGACTCCTCCTCATGACTCTTTCCTCACCTTAGGTCCCCACGCTGGACACTCCCACTACCATCTTTGGAAGGTGAGCATGGAAAGAACTGGGCCTGGGAGTCATTTAGACTTCTGCACTGGTGAGCAGACCACTGACGTTTCCAGCTGCCCTCCCAGCATCACTCGGGGGTTAGGAAAGAAGTATTTTTAGCATGTTCAGTATAAGAGACCAGGCGCTGAGGCAGATAAACTGGGCTTCAGTTTCAGCTTGGCCACTAATGTATTTGTCTTGAGCAAGGCAGGGCCCGGCTTTGGCCATCTGAGCATAATAATCCTCGTTGTCCTTAATTGGGTTGTGGTGACAGGCAGCAAGATAGTAACTTGATTAGAAATAATGTACATGCAACACATGTATTATCTACATTTTGCAAAGCTGTAAGATAAAAACCCACCCAAACCCCTTTCATTACTTTGCCTTATGAATTTTTTCAGGCCACCTCGTGTGCAGGGACCGTGTGTCTGTCTGATCACTGAGCTCCTAGAACTAGGATCGAGGATGGGACAGACTGGTTCTCTTCACAGTCTTTAAAAGAGCCCACCAACCAAGGTTCCTTGTGTACCAGCTACTTCCCACTTCCACACCTTTGCTCCTTCTATTTCCTCTGCCTGGGGCACCCTTCTCTGGCCAATCTCTACTATCAAGAGTCAGCTCAGGCTCTCCTAATCCTTTAGACTGTCTTCTAGAAAAGCTTTCCTGACAGCCACACCCCCACAAGTTCAATTATACTAGACTCAGTACAGCAAATGGTTAAAAGCCCTCCTGCTTCACCAACTACTAGCTGAGAGATCTTGGGTAAGTTCCCTGTCTTCCCTGAGCCTCTGTTTCTTCATTGATAACATGAAGATAGTAATAGAACCAACCTTAGAGTTGTTAGGAGCATTAGTATGTCTAACGCGCTTAGGAGAGCACCAGCACACAGTGAGCATGTTGCTGTGATTGTCATCATTGGACTGTAAGCTCCCTGGGGTGGAGACCCTGTCTTACCAATCGGTCTTCTTAATACCAGGAACCAGGCCTTTTACCTGAGATGTGGGACACCCCAGAACTCATGACTGATCATGTCCTACAGTCGGTCTGAGGTCTCAGGAGGTGACCATTTCTTTATCCCAGCCTTGATATGTATTCATGTTGTCTTTGAGGCTTCTGGCCTTTTATAGCATATCTTTTAAGGGTCCTGTTTCACTCTGTTCCGTGACTCAGCCAATATGCATATTCCTCCTTTGGGTCAGGCCAACTGTAATTGTGAAAAGAGCATTGGAAGGTGAGACTGCCACTCACTGAGTCCGAGGTTGGTTTGGGCATCTGTTGAAAGGAACTCACACCGGCAAGTTTCATGAATTTTGCCATCGTTCCTGGTCCTTCTGTTCATCCGTGTCCTTCTTCCCTGAAGCTGAGAAAGATTGTAAAATCTTAACAGCTCCTCCAAGTGAAGAAAGGCCCACAGCTCCAACCCTCAAAAGACTAAAAATCTGGGTAGAATTATAAGGAGAGTGTCCTCATATTCAGTCAGTCATCAGACAGTTGATGCGATCAACTCTGCGCTAGGCCTGAGCTGGTCACAGGAAAGGCAGTAAGAGAAGCAGAGCCCGGGCACGGTCTTCCCAGACGCACAGGCCACGGAGGGCGTGGAGCCGGAGCCGTAATGAAGATAATCTAGGTACTTTTAGCCAGTACTCCTCAAAGGGAGTGGGAATATATTAGACCTCACCTGGGGAGTGTTTTTTCTCTTTAGATGAGAACTCCTGCTTTGAGCAGAAAAGTCAATTCAATCTAGCCTAGTAGGTGTAGGAACCAGGCCCTCAGAGGCCAGAGGTTGAAGCTTGTCTCCCAGCTCTGCAATCAGCCCCAGAGCAGGCCCCCTGCCACCGCGAGCCTGTGTGTCTGCCCTCTTCTTCCCATCCATCTTCCTTTCAGGAGGGTCACCCAGCACAATGCCAGCTCTGCCCTTGGACCAACTCCAGGTCACCCACAAGGACCCGAAGACAGGAAAGCTGAGGACTTCACCAGCGCTGGTGAGCCGGTGCCTTAAGGCCATTCAGCCTGATACTGTCATTCTTACAATTTCAGAAGCAAAAAGTAAATTCCTTTTTTATCTGTTCTAAGAATGACCCGAGAGCCATGGTCAGTAATTCAGTAACTGGGACACTACTGGGTACCTTCCAGGCCCAGTGTGGAAGTTTCCTTTCTGAGCAGCAGCTTGAATTTGAGTAGTATTTTCATGTCACCACCCCACACCTTACCCCCAGAGCATTTAATTTTGAATCTGAGTGTGATGGCAGTGTTGACTCAGCCAGAGCTGGCCTAGAAATGGATCCGGCCTGAAGCCAGGTTGGGAGTTTGACCCTGTGGGAGGTGTTCATGTTACAGATAGGCCTTGTTCAGAGCTATCTCAGCTGCTATCCGCATTTTTGGGGGAACACTGATTTCAGAGGTTGGGCTGTCTTTTATCTCAGTGGGCTAAGAAGTGCCACGTACAGACTCAGCAGGGTTTGTGAGAATGAAAAGTAAGGAGGCCGTGAGCATACCGATTACCAGCTGCGCAGTGAGAATAGAGCTACAGAGACATGCCAGGCTGCTGGAAGGAGACGGATGCGGGGACTGGAGTCCCCAGATGCACTTCATTTCCCAAGAATATGGGTTTACTTGGACAAGGTGGAAGTATTTTCTGGGGGCTTGAGTAAAGTCATGGGAAACAAGAACTTGGTGTTTTATATTCTGCTTTCTGGATGGCTTCCTGTTACTTCCAAACTTCTCTAATAATAGTACTTAACATTTATAGAGCCCTCACTCAGGGCCAAACCTTTCTAAATACTTCACCAGGATTAGCTCATTTAGGCCACACCACAGCCCTGTGAGTAGGTATTTTGGTTGTCCCCATTTTACTGATGAGGAAACTGAGCATTCTAGGAAATTAGGGGAGCCAGGATGGGAATCTATGCAGGCTGACCCTACAGCCTGTGCCCCTAACCTTTCTGCTACAGAGTCTCCCACTTCTTTTTCGTAACCTTTTTTATGTAAGGAGGATATTTATCAGAAGATCTAGAACTGTTTTGCCCAATATGGTAGCCACCCAATACAGTAGTAGCCATTCACTACATGTAGGAATTGTGCACTTGAAATGTGGATAGTTTGAGGAGCTGGGTTTTTTATTTTATTTTTGTTAATTTAAGTGAAAACATCCCATGCGGTGGGTGCCTACCATGTTGGCCAGTGAGATACAGAAGAGTTCCATGACTTAAGGATGTTCTGCTGGCGAGTGCTGGCGGGGCCTGGCTCCCTGAAAGGCTGAGTGATTTCCCCATCAGCCTTTCCCTGTGTACTAACCCTTGTTGCTGGACTGTGGGCTCCATGGTGGCAGGGACCTGGCCCCTTCTTTCCACTCTGGCTTCCCAGTGCCAGGTGCATTTTTTTCAGGAAACTTTGAGTAAATTAGTTAAGGACCCCAGCTTGTGCCAGGTGCTGAAGCCACAAAGGAAAAAAATGTAGTTCCTGCCCTCGAGGGGCCCACAGTCTGAGAGAAAAGCAGACCAGTAGCTTCTCTACCATGTGATCAGGGCTGTGATAGAAGTCCAGGCTGCTGCGTACGCACAGAGCCTGGGTCACTGATCTGGATAAACGAAGGGGTTGTGGGACTTGGAGATCTTACGGGTGGTATATTGGAAAGACACATGCAGCCAGGGAGGGTTCCTGAAGGACGGGGATCCTGAACTGGTATTGAAGGAGTGAATAAGCTCTAGCCAGGCAGAGCAATAGGGGAGTGGACCTGGTAGAAGGACCCAAATGTATCGTCCTGGAGTATTGAGAGAGCCTGACTTCTACACCAACCACCAGTCCCTTCGGGTGGAAGCACTGTTGAAGTGTTAAAAGAGCATGGGTTTTGTGTTAAGTCTCACATGTACTTGGTGGTATGACTTTGAACAAGTTCCTTAACCTCCCTAAGCCTCACGATCAAAAAGGATAATAACAGAACCAGCTCTGTAAGGTGGTTTTGAGGATTAAATAAGACATCCATGAGTTAGCAGTATCCTAGAGCATAGCAGGCCTTCCATAGTGATGGTGATGACAACAGTGACGGGGACAGAGTTGAACAGGGGTAGGGTGGGAAGAGGGACAAGCTGAGGGAGACAGCTGCCTGATCGAGGAGCAGTCTTGTTGGTCATGCTGTAAGAGAAGCAGGCCACTGGAAGCTCCTGAAAGGTCGTCCTGAGATCTGTACCCACCATATAATTGTCTTTTTAGTGCCAACATGGGGCAAAAAGATCTCTAGCCAAGGGGTAGCCATCAGGCTGCCTTTGCAGAGTGAAAGGTGAGGCTAATGTATTAGGTAGCTGCTGCGCACAGCACATACTTAGCGCTCTTAGAAATCCCAGAGAAATAAAAATAAAGTCTTGGGCCAGAATGGGTGAGTGAGCTCTTGAGGAAGACAACTCTTGTAAGTGGAGCATCTGGAGAATAGTGCAGATGTTTTCTTCTGAAGATAAATGCAACAGAAGTTTGATGGGCAGAAAATGTTCAGAAAGCATCACAGAACAAGTGGGATCTAAGCCAGGTTTTAAGGGTGGAAGATAGAGCTGGGGTCTGCTGCTCCCTGCCAAGTCTCCCATGGCCCCCATGACCTACAAAATAACATCTCCACTCCTGAGCTTGGCATTCAGGGTCCTTCAAAGACCTTGGCAGGTCTGGTCCTCGATTACCTCCATTCATTCCTTTGTCCAGCCAGCAAATGTGTATGGAGCATCTGCTTGCTACCAGGCACTGTTCTAGGGACTAGGAATGTCGTGGTGAGCAAGGCTCAGTCTGCCTCCGGAGACCTCCAGGCTGGTGGGAGAGACAGAGAACACAGGTCTCTCTTTTTATATAACTTTATTGGGGTATCACTGAAGGACAATAAACTGCACATATTTAAGGTATTCAGTCTGATTGGTGTTGACATCTGTATACATCCATGAAACCATCACCACAATCAGGATAACATCACCACTCCCAAACATTTCCTTATGCCTTCTGTAATCCATCCTTTCCTCTCTCTCCATCCACAGCAACCACTGATCTAAAAACAGTGTTGATAGAGTTCACCAAGTGCTACAGTTGGAGAAGCAGAGTGCAGGGGGAGCCCAGGTGACCCTCTAATCTAATCAGGCATGGGAGCTGGGGAGACCTCCTGGAGAAAATGAGGTCAAAAGCACAGGCAGTGAGACAGATGGCCCGTGCGGACTAGAGGCCTTTTACTAGGTCTGTGAGACGTGTAAGCTTTGGTTCAGATCCTGCCTGTCTTGACTCCTTAGTCCTGCGACCTTGGCGGACTTCCTGAACCTTGCTGAGTCTTTGTTTCTTCCTCTGTAAAATGGGGAGAATACTCCCTTTAATAGCTGTTGTAGGTTAAAAAAAAAGAACAGCAGGCTGTGGGATGTACCTACTCAGCAGCCAGCACAGGGCAGGTCCTCATTCAGTGGTGACTTTTATTATCATTCTAGTTTTGCTCTTTCTTTTTTTTATGTTTTTATTTTGGTATCATTAATCTATAATTACATGAGGAACATTATGTTTAGTAGACTACCCCCATCACCAAGTCCCCCCACATACAGTTTTGCTCTTTCTAAATCCATTTCCCACCACCCAGTACCATCTGTGCCTCTTTTTAATGGCCCCTTTTTATGCCTCCATGAAAATACTGTTTCTTCTCATCCTCTAAGACCCAGCTCAGATGCTGCCTGCTCTGGGAAGCTGTGTCTGTCCTCCCAGCACAGTTCATCACCTTTTGCACTGACACGGTCCCTCTGCCAGGTTTGAGCTTCACTTCCTCTTTTTTTGATGACTTAGATGTGCATTTTTCCCTTTGGAGCATGGACTCTGAGCACATGCTGTTCTTCATGTGCCCCACCACACTTGGCATGGTAGGGTGCCAGTAAATGCTTATAGGATTGCAAGGAAGGTAGAATCTTGGGGCAAGGGGTGATGTTGGGGAAGTGGGGAGCAGTGAGTAGCCTGGCCCAAGAAGTGACCTAAGAGGTGAGATGTCAACAAATAAAGGGATGGGGTCGAGCTTAGAAATCAAGGAGATGAATTGAGGCCCCAGACAGTAGTTTTGACCTGTGTCAGTCAGCAAGATTGCTTTTTCAGAAGATTAGGACCTGAAACACCACTGTATAAATTCTGATGTAAATGGGAGGGTTCCTGAAGACCCCCTGTGGAATCCTTGCAGGACTCAAGGACTCCAGTTTGAAAACGCATTAGGCAGTAGGGAGGCATGGGTGGTTCTCAAGGCGACTGACCAGTCAGCCATCATTTTCCTGTCCCCCTGGACAGCAGACCTGGAAGTGGGTGGACTGTGATTGATAACAGCTGAGATGTTGCCTGGCCTTCCTCCTATTACCACTTGCCCTGGAGAAAGCAGCCCTTATGTAGTCAGAGGAGAAAACTGAGCTCATCATCTCTTCTTTATGGTGAACAAAGTAAGGTTTGTTCGTGGCAAAGTAAGGGCTGGAAGAGAGAACGTGTGTTGCTAAGCCAAGACCTGCAGTTACTTGATTAGCATCTTTTCTTTAAAAAAAAATAACTGAGGCTTTTTTTCAATTGTAAAAAAGGATATAGCAGAATACATACAGTATGATGCTGTCTGTAGGAAAGATGAAATCAGATCTAAAATACCTTATAGGGGTATATTTTAGCATAAATGCTTAGGAAAGTTCTTGGAGAACACCCACCCGATTGTGAATGGTCACCTCTGGGAGGACATGGGGACCGGGAACGTGGTCCCAGGCGACTCACCTTCTCTGTTGTGTTGTAAGTTTTTGAAAGAAATGATAATCATGTCTCACTTGTATGATTAACAATTAATTTTGAAAGCAAAACCTGTTCATTTTTTAAAATTGGAGAATAAGTCATAATCCCCCCACCAGAGAAGACCACTGTTAGCTTTGGGGTGATGTCTCCCCACCCCACTTTTTTTAAAACCTGTACTAGTGTGTGACTGTGGTGAATATATATAGTTTTTTAAAACCCCAAAAACTGATCATATTAAATAGAGAGGTTTGTATCCTGCTTTCTCTTTCCTTAACCTTTCCCCATGTCATTAAATATTCCCCCCAAAACATGGTTTTTAACACCCGCCTACTGTTCTTGAATGCAACCAAGACTCTTTTGTTAGAGACACTTGGTTCTTTATGCTTAAAAGCTCCTTGGAGGGTCACTGGTTGGAACAGCCAAGTGTTGTCATTGCTGTGGGTTGGCAAATGGGCCCTTGCTGACTAACCTCTGCCATGGTAACACGTGGTTTTTGGATCCATAGCGTCCGGAGCAGAAGGCAGACCGGTATTTTGTGTTATACAAACCGCCCCCTAAAGACAACATTCCCGCCCTAGTGGAGGAGTACCTGGAACGCGCCACCTTCGTAGCCAATGACCTCGACTGGCTCCTGGCCTTGCCTCACGATAAATTCTGGTGCCAGGTAACATTCTGTCAAAATTAATGCTAAGACAAGCACATGACATGCCCCTGGTTGGTTGCTTTGTTGTTTTTCTCCCCCTTGGCGATGCTTGAGGCTAATGTATTAGGTAGCTGCTGCGCACAGCACATACTTAGCGCTCTTAGAAATCCCAGAGAAATAAAAATAAAGTCTTGGGCCAGAATGGGTGAGTGAGCTCTTGAGGAAGACAACTCTTGTAAGTGGAGCATCTGGAGAATAGTGCAGATGTTTTCTTCTGAAGATAAATGCAACAGAAGTTTGATGGGCAGAAAATGTTCAGAAAGCATCACAGAACAAGTGGGATCTAAGCCAGGTTTTAAGGGTGGAAGGTAGAGCTGGGGTCTGCTGCTCCCTGCCAAGTCTCCCATGGCCCCCATGACCTACAAAATAACATCTCCACTCCTGAGCTTGGCATTCAGGGTCCTTCAAAGACCTTGGCAGGTCTGGTCCTCGATTACCTCCATTCATTCCTTTGTCCAGCCAGCAAATGTGTATGGAGCATCTGCTTGCTACCAGGCACTGTTCTAGGGACTAGGAATGTCGTGGTGAGCAAGGCTCAGTCTGCCTCCGGAGACCTCCAGGCTGGTGGGAGAGACAGAGAACACAGGTCTCTCTTTTTATATAACTTTATTGGGGTATCACTGAAGGACAATAAACTGCACATATTTAAGGTATTCAGTCTGATTGGTGTTGACATCTGTATACATCCATGAAACCATCACCACAATCAGGATAACATCACCACTCCCAAACATTTCCTTATGCCTTCTGTAATCCATCCTTTCCTCTCTCTCCATCCACAGCAACCACTGATCTAAAAACAGTGTTGATAGAGTTCACCAAGTGCTACAGTTGGAGAAGCAGAGTGCAGGGGGAGCCCAGGTGACCCTCTAATCTAATCAGGCATGGGAGCTGGGGAGACCTCCTGGAGAAAATGAGGTCAAAAGCACAGGCAGTGAGACAGATGGCCCGTGCGGACTAGAGGCCTTTTACTAGGTCTGTGAGACGTGTAAGCTTTGGTTCAGATCCTGCCTGTCTTGACTCCTTAGTCCTGCGACCTTGGCGGACTTCCTGAACCTTGCTGAGTCTTTGTTTCTTCCTCTGTAAAATGGGGAGAATACTCCCTTTAATAGCTGTTGTAGGTTAAAAAAAAAGAACAGCAGGCTGTGGGATGTACCTACTCAGCAGCCAGCACAGGGCAGGTCCTCATTCAGTGGTGACTTTTATTATCATTCTAGTTTTGCTCTTTCTTTTTTTTATGTTTTTATTTTGGTATCATTAATCTATAATTACATGAGGAACATTATGTTTAGTAGACTACCCCCATCACCAAGTCCCCCCACATACAGTTTTGCTCTTTCTAAATCCATTTCCCACCACCCAGTACCATCTGTGCCTCTTTTTAATGGCCCCTTTTTATGCCTCCATGAAAATACTGTTTCTTCTCATCCTCTAAGACCCAGCTCAGATGCTGCCTGCTCTGGGAAGCTGTGTCTGTCCTCCCAGCACAGTTCATCACCTTTTGCACTGACACGGTCCCTCTGCCAGGTTTGAGCTTCACTTCCTCTTTTTTTGATGACTTAGATGTGCATTTTTCCCTTTGGAGCATGGACTCTGAGCACATGCTGTTCTTCATGTGCCCCACCACACTTGGCATGGTAGGGTGCCAGTAAATGCTTATAGGATTGCAAGGAAGGTAGAATCTTGGGGCAAGGGGTGATGTTGGGGAAGTGGGGAGCAGTGAGTAGCCTGGCCCAAGAAGTGACCTAAGAGGTGAGATGTCAACAAATAAAGGGATGGGGTCGAGCTTAGAAATCAAGGAGATGAATTGAGGCCCCAGACAGTAGTTTTGACCTGTGTCAGTCAGCAAGATTGCTTTTTCAGAAGATTAGGACCTGAAACACCACTGTATAAATTCTGATGTAAATGGGAGGGTTCCTGAAGACCCCCTGTGGAATCCTTGCAGGACTCAAGGACTCCAGTTTGAAAACGCATTAGGCAGTAGGGAGGCATGGGTGGTTCTCAAGGCGACTGACCAGTCAGCCATCATTTTCCTGTCCCCCTGGACAGCAGACCTGGAAGTGGGTGGACTGTGATTGATAACAGCTGAGATGTTGCCTGGCCTTCCTCCTATTACCACTTGCCCTGGAGAAAGCAGCCCTTATGTAGTCAGAGGAGAAAACTGAGCTCATCATCTCTTCTTTATGGTGAACAAAGTAAGGTTTGTTCGTGGCAAAGTAAGGGCTGGAAGAGAGAACGTGTGTTGCTAAGCCAAGACCTGCAGTTACTTGATTAGCATCTTTTCTTTAAAAAAAAATAACTGAGGCTTTTTTTCAATTGTAAAAAAGGATATAGCAGAATACATACAGTATGATGCTGTCTGTAGGAAAGATGAAATCAGATCTAAAATACCTTATAGGGGTATATTTTAGCATAAATGCTTAGGAAAGTTCTTGGAGAACACCCACCCGATTGTGAATGGTCACCTCTGGGAGGACATGGGGACCGGGAACGTGGTCCCAGGCGACTCACCTTCTCTGTTGTGTTGTAAGTTTTTGAAAGAAATGATAATCATGTCTCACTTGTATGATTAACAATTAATTTTGAAAGCAAAACCTGTTCATTTTTTAAAATTGGAGAATAAGTCATAATCCCCCCACCAGAGAAGACCACTGTTAGCTTTGGGGTGATGTCTCCCCACCCCACTTTTTTTAAAACCTGTACTAGTGTGTGACTGTGGTGAATATATATAGTTTTTTAAAACCCCAAAAACTGATCATATTAAATAGAGAGGTTTGTATCCTGCTTTCTCTTTCCTTAACCTTTCCCCATGTCATTAAATATTCCCCCCAAAACATGGTTTTTAACACCCGCCTACTGTTCTTGAATGCAACCAAGACTCTTTTGTTAGAGACACTTGGTTCTTTATGCTTAAAAGCTCCTTGGAGGGTCACTGGTTGGAACAGCCAAGTGTTGTCATTGCTGTGGGTTGGCAAATGGGCCCTTGCTGACTAACCTCTGCCATGGTAACACGTGGTTTTTGGATCCATAGCGTCCGGAGCAGAAGGCAGACCGGTATTTTGTGTTATACAAACCGCCCCCTAAAGACAACATTCCCGCCCTAGTGGAGGAGTACCTGGAACGCGCCACCTTCGTAGCCAATGACCTCGACTGGCTCCTGGCCTTGCCTCACGATAAATTCTGGTGCCAGGTAACATTCTGTCAAAATTAATGCTAAGACAAGCACATGACATGCCCCTGGTTGGTTGCTTTGTTGTTTTTCTCCCCCTTGGCGATGCTTTTCTCTCTAGTTCTTACACTGGATCCTTAGCAGCAAATTGTGGTTTGGATTGCTCTGTCTTGTATCACACAATCTTAGTGATGTGTACACAACATCACTTCCAGTGTGTCAGTTTTAGAAACTTGTGTGTAGCCTTCGGCTTATTCATACCTCCTCCGTCCCGTGGGGTTGGAGTGTTTGCCACAGACCAGGGCTGAAGGGCCATGAGCCTCTGCAGTCCACGCCCAAGCCCTGGCGCCTGGGTAACGTTCTTCTCCTCTGTTGCCTGACTTAGGTTATCTTCGACGAGACCCTGCAGAAGTGCCTGGACTCCTACCTGCGCTATGTGCCCCGAAAGTTCGATGAGTGGGTGGCCCCAGCCCCTGAGGTTGTTGACATGGAGAGATGCCTCCATCGAAGTGTTTTTCTCACCTTCCTCCGCATGTCCACTCACAAGGAATCCAAAGTAAGCCCCTGATCCCGTGACAGGTTGCCACCTGACACCCAGCACCTCTGTGCTGGACTCCCTGCCCCTGGGAAGAAAGGCTCTGGAAGTATTGAGTTTCTTCTTTGTCTCCCCTCGGCCTTTATTCCCCTGGCTGGGAAGAAATCTCTGCCACCTCCCTTCTCCCTTAACTCACCCGGGTCAGCTGCATTACACCCAGGGTTTTCATCAATGGGAGCTGAGGGCCCTTTGCCAGCTGACTCGTGACTGTGCCTTTTCTCGTGCGTCAGAGGGTGAAAACATTGATTCTGATTTTTAAAAGGAACTTGTATGTGCTTCTAAAAACCTTTATTCCCCCACCCCCAATTAAATAACATTGTCTCTAAACAGCTCAAACATTACAGAAGCGTTTTGTAGCTAGTGAAAACCACCCACAAAATCCCCTCCTGAATAACCACTGTTGTGATGCGTATCTTCAGGGAATGATTTTCCTTTCAGTGTGTGTTTGTGTGTGTGTATTTTTACAATAGGGTCTTGCTTTTTTTGTTTTTTAACTTTTTAAACTTTTAACTTTTTTTAACTTCTGTTGAATGAAAATTTTCAAACATACACAAGTATAATGAATCCATGTACTCATCATCCAGCTTCAACAATTACCATTATTTTGTTGATCTTATTTTCTCTCCCCTCCTGAGTTTTCTTTTCTCTTGGGGTATTTTAGAACATTCCCAAACATCATAGTCATTTACCTGTAAATATTTTTAAATGAATCCCCAATTAACTGTTTTATAGTATACTTTTGCTTCTTTTTACATTAAAATGAGGAATGGTTATTGCTCTGCATGAGGCTCAGCCATGTCCCTAGTGTGGATGGACCTGCATTCATTAGCCAGTCCCCCATGGATGGACCTGAAGGTGGTGTCTTGTGAGTTTGCTATTATTTTACAATGCAGGTGCTTTGTAAAGTTAAAGATCCTCTTCTCCTTTCTTTCTGCATGGTTCCTTAGGATCACTTCATCTCCCCCTCTGCATTTGGAGAAATCCTTTACGACAACTTCCTGTTTGACATCCCAAAGATCTTGGACCTCTGCGTGCTCTTTGGAAAAGGCAACTCGCCATTGCTCCAGAAGATGATAGGTGTGTAGGGTGCGGGCCTGGAGGGATGCACAGAGGCAGCCCTCACATGCCAAATTAGAGGTTCCAAAGGCACCACCTAGGTGAGTTCAGGAGGATTCAGAGCAGCAGAGCGACTGGTCCCTGGAAGTGATATAACAGATGTGTGTAACTCTGCAAGAAGTGCCTGGTGGGCAGTGGGGGAATTCAGACAAGGATGTGTACCACACAGGTGCTCAGATGTCTTGGAGTCTTAGTATTAGGCCATGTGTCAAACAGTTGAATGAGTGGGGAAGCTTGCTTCAGCAATGAGAGTAGGAAGGGCAGGGATAGCCTTTGTTTGAGTGCTCACTGGGGGGGCCTGTCACTCTGCTGAACGTTCCTCATATGTTTTCTTCTCAATTGATCCTCACAGCAGCCTTGTGACAGTGCTGTGATCATCCCCATGTACAGATAAGGAAACTGAGGTTACCACATAAGGGACTTACCTAAGAGGCCATGACTAATAGGTGACCACGCTGAGATTTACGTCACTTAGGCCCGACTCTCAGGCTCTTGCTCTTCGCAATTCCCTGCCTCAGGGATGATGGTGCTGGCCTCAAAAATGTCATGATTTGCATCGCTGCTGAGAGCAGATGGGGGCAGAGTTCAGAAAGGACTCTTGGGTTGTGAAAGGACCTACGTCAGCAATTGGATCCCATCGGGGCAGTGGGCTGAGGATTCAGTCAGACATGGAAGCTTTGTTAGGGTGCTGCGGAGGGAACAATGCTCCAGCGGGTTCCTCTTTGAATCACAGCTCATGGCATTGGGCCCGGCACACAGGCGCTCACCCTGTACTTCCACCCGTCAGTCCTCCTCACCCTGACTGTAGGCACAGTCTTCAGACACCCAGTTAAAGAGCTGACTTATCCCTTGAAACAGTTTCCTTCCTTCTTTCTTTTTTTCCACTAATAGTAAGGGTAAAAAATGTTAATATAGAAAATTTCAGGAGAATATGAAGTATAAAGAAGCTGGGAAGCAGCTATCAAATTCCTGCAGCCAGAGACAATCATTTGGTGATTATTTCCTTCCAGCCTTTTCTCTGTATTTTTTAAAAACAAATTAGAGCATAATGTATAATTTTGCATTCAACCTTTTCATTGGAACAACTTCTGGTTTCTAATTCAAATCTAATTATTACCTGGCCATCAGTTCATTTGTTTTATTTTCCTAGGGAAAGACCCGAAATAATTTTACGGTAGGTTGAGAGGAAGGGGTGAGTAAGCAAAAGCAGACATGATTCTTGTTAGAGAAACAATTAATAGGCTGGTTTGGCTCGAGTGGAGCATTCCAGGAGGGCGGCAGCAGGAGACGGCGAGGGGAAGCTGGGGCCCGGCAGGGAGGGCTCCTTCCCAGGCGTTAGCGCTTGGAAAGTGGTGTTGCTTGGTGGCTAAGACAGGCTCTAGAGTTAAACTATTCACACCCCAGCTCTGTTCTAGGCTCGGTCACTTTGACCAAGTCAGCCACTGTAAGCCTCAGTTTTCTCATCTGAAGAATAGGAAGACGTGATCTACCTAGCTGGCAGGCTGGCTGTGGGGATCAAACCTGAGGTGGTGCTCGGCACAGTGCCTGGCATGTACAGGCACTTGGTAAGTGTGACCTCTTATAGTGATAAGACTGTGGGAGCCTCTGGAAGCTTGGAGCAGGGCAAGGAGCCATCTGTAACATGGTTAATCTGGTAGCACGTGGGTCGGGGGAGTGGTGACAGGAGGCTGCAGAGAAAGCTACTGCTTCCTCGTGGGTGGGAAGGCAAGAGCCTGGTGGGGCTGCAGAGCTGAAAAGGACATCCCAGAGGCAGAATAAAGCAGGGTTTCGTGAGGTCAGCAGGACGGAGAAGACTTAATGATTCTGGTGTCCTTGACAGAAAACTGGTGTCATTGCAGAAAAGGGCCTTTGGGAGATGGAGGGAATGAGGTGTACGTAAGTGGAGGCAAGGTCAGCTTTAGATCTGCCAGGTGTGAGACGGCCGTGCAGATCCAGAGGGAGATGATGTCTGGTCTCGGGTGCAGGAGGGCGCGGGTGGAGCAACGCAGCTCTGCCTCTGCTGGAGTTCCTCCTCTTCTGTCACTGATTCCTTTGAAAATCAGATGAAAGCTTGTCTCAAGAAAAACATGCCACCTTACAGATTCTGAGGTGTTCTAGAAGGCACAGCAAGAGGCAGCCTCCACTTTCTCTACCGCAAAAGCCCTTGAGCAAAGCATGTCAGCTGTAAGGGGGTCAACGGGAAGAGAGGGAGGGAGCACGGGGACTGGCCCGTTGTCCCGTGGCAGAACCCCAGGCTTTATGCTGCCCCAGCCTCCACATCCCCGTCCTACTTTTTTTTTAAACTTCAAGGCTGGTATTGTGAACTGGCAAGTGCACTTGTGAAAGCGGGACCTTTCAGTTAGACTCTTAGAGCCAGTTTGCCAAAGCAGGAGTGCATCAGGCCTCGGCCTTCTCAAGGACCGCACTGGTCTCCGGCAAAAACGTCCGCTCACCCTGGGTTTCTGAACTGCTGTAGTCCGAGAAGGGATATGTCAAAGGATGTCATTGCTGTCTCTTACTTTTAAATTATTTCCTTAAGAGATCACAAGGCAGATCTTCACCATTATGGGAATCAGATAAAGGAAAGAGACTCCGAGGATCCCAAGGGTAGATTGTGAAATGTGATCTATTTTAAGGGTCACAAAGCATCCCTGTTACTTAGGCGTAAGCACTGGAAAGATTAGGAGAGAGGGCCTTACTCTGTGCCAGGTGGCTGGGGTGTGGCGGGGACACCATGTGGCCCTGGGAGTGATGGCAAGAGACCTGCTCCTGGTGCCTGGGTCAGGTGCCCGGAGCAGGTGGTACCTGCCTTATGGTGGACTCAGCTCTGGGAGGTCACTCCAGGCCCGACTTTACAAAATTAGAGGGAGGAGGCAGGGCTTGTTCTCTGAGGCTGAGGATGGTGTGAGGGAGGAATACAGTGTGGGGTATGGCGAGAGGGTGGCTGGAGGTGCTGGCAGGGGCCAGACCTCACAGGGCCCCTTGCGCCTGGTCAAGAGTTCAGATTTGACCTTGAGGATACCAGTAGGAGGGTTTCATGAAGAAGGGCAGAGGTTGGTGGGGAGGCAGCTCATCACTCTTGCCTGTCAGGAGAAGGAGAAGAATAATGTGGGCACAGATGGTCAGGGAGCACCTTCACAGGCTGAAGGATCAGCACCCACCTGGAGGTGGGAGGCGCTGAGCAAACTTGTGCTGATAAAACTCAGCTTTCTGGAATCAGGGAAGGAAGTTGTATCCAGGAAAGTGTTTTCAGAAAGCCCAGCCACCCAGTGACTTTTTTCTCACCTAGCCCCACCTGGCCTTTGCCTTCATTCATTTTCAGATCATCTGGGAGGGACGAGCATGGCAGGGTTTTCATCAAACCGAGACAGACCTGCCCCCAAACAAAGGACACCTAGAATTCAGATCATCCTGACAGTCAGCCAACCGTAGATGCTAGGAGTGTCGTGGGATGAAGAACGCTGGAGGTTCTGAAGGGTGTTGGCATTTTGCTTTGTCACGTAGCCCAGCTAGCTGTGACCTTCCCTCCCTCACCATTGGGGCAGCCAGAACCCTTGGTTTCTGTTCATTTACCGTGTGCTGGGAACTACACACTGCCAGCAGTTGTGCCTGAAGGGTAGTAAACACTCAGAGAGGAGCTTCGTTTTTAGGAACAACTGCAAGTACGTGGTAAATCTGCTCCCAAGTCTCTCTCAGGCCTCTCACATTGGAAAAGTATGGATTAGTATGGCTAGCATATTCAAAAGCAGAGGGTAAGAGAATTTCCAGAGAAATTTCTCCCTAGAGCCTCCTGGCAAGAATCCTGGACTGTAGCATCAGGTTTCTTGAGCAAAGAGATCGTGTCTCCTAATTTTCCTAAATGAGTACCTCCCACTTCAAAGCCAATGCTGTCATACAAGGCACCGTGCCCAAGTATCATCACTCCCTGGGGACGTCAGGGCAAGCTCGTTTGACCAGGTCACGTCTTTTATGTAATTTGTTAGGCAGAGGTACTTAAAAGGTTAAATTTTACTGAACAAGGTCCCTCCCCAACCCTGGGGAAGTTTCTAGTCTGGGCCAAAGCTTTGTGCCAGCAGGGCCTGGGGCCAGGACTGCTCTAAGTGCAGATGAGCTTAGAAAAGGGGAAAAAGGTCGCAGAACATTCTGGTAACCATTTGTAATGTGTCCTCTCCACTCCCACCCTCTTCCCAATTCTACCTTTCTCTTCTCTTTTCAGGAAACATCTTTATCCAGCAGCCAAGTTACTATAATGACCTCGATGAAACCATGCCCACCATCCTTCAGGTACCAGCTCCCCACCCTGCCCAGGGGAGGGCAAAATTAGGAGGCAGACCCCTTCCCCAACCTAATGGCATTCATCGACTCCTGGAAGAGCCCAGGAGAAATGTTCACTCCCCACCCATTTCTAGCCCCATCTGCAGATGTTTCTGTGTCCCACCCCGTACCATACCCTTTCAGTTTCGCCCCTTTCCCCTCTTGAAGAGAACTAAACTCTAGGGGCTGGTCAGCACTCACACAGAAAGAACCTGCTTTGCATTTTGTGCTGTTTGCCAACAGCCATGTGCTCCTAAGGATACCCCTCTACTAGACCTGTTTCTCAAATAAGGGCTTTATAACCTGATGAAATGATTTTACAAAATAATAATGTTCATTGTAAAAAAAATTAGAACATATAAAAAAAACAGAAAGAGGAGGATTAATATTCCCCCATAACTCCACCACCAAGAGATTCAACTACGCACAGTACCTTTTTGGATAGTCACAAGCTAACGTGCTTAAAGAAGGCACAATTAGTTAAAGATTTATGTAATTTTACTATGGCCTCTCTTTTTCCCTCACTGCTGATTTGTCTCTTATTCTGTATAGTCGAATAAAATAATTGCTATCTCCAGGGGATCCAAAACCACATTATATATTGCTGAATATGTATCTTAAATATACTTTACCATACACTTGCCCAGCCTATCCAGTCAGATAATATCTGCAGGGTTGATTCTAGGAGCTTTACGTATGTTTTGTCTTTTTAATCCTCATCAGGATCCTGTAAGAACACCCTGTCATCCCCATTTTAGAGAGTTTCCACTCTGACCCCACCCTCTGAGGTCATTGTCTCAGCTGGTATCTTGGGAACACTGGTGTATATTCCAAAGATTCCAGGGCAGTTTTCAGATCACCCATCCCTGGTCGCAAGACAGCCATCCTCACTGTAGGAGTCACCTCTTATGTTTCACAGGTTTTCAGCAATATACTCCAGCACTGTGGTTTGCAAGGGGACGGGGCCAGCACCACACCCCAGAAGCTCGAGGAGAGGGGTCGGTTGACCCCCAGCGATATGCCTCTCCTGGTGAGGTTGCCCTTTAGCCCCGCCTCTTTCTGGCTAATAGAGGACCAAGCAGCTTCTTCCCCTGCTCACAACCCCATTCCCTAACTCAGTAAGCAGCTATTCCCACCATACAAGCTTACAACATTTCAGCAGGCTTCCATTTTTCTCTTGGAGCTTCATTTACGGAGTTGTAGAAAGAACAGGGAGCTGGAATTCGGAGGATGGGGGCTTAATCTTAGTTCATCTCTACAAGATCATCTGTGTGTTATTCATTGAGCCATTCATTTGTTCCATGAGTTTGCAGTGAGGAGCCCCTGCATATGCTGGGCCTTGGAGGTAAGGCAGTAGGCACAACAGACATGATACCTGCTATCATGGAACTTAGAGTCTGATGGGGATGATAGGCAGAAGGTAAATGTTTAAGGAGATTGGGCATGTGTCAGGCCTTGTGCTAAGCCCCAGAGATAGAGCAGGAAGGAGGCAGCTGTGAGCTGCCTTCCTGGAGCTTGCGATCTCATGGGAGCTTAGGACCTCGAGATACTAAACAAATGTTTCAGCAAGAGGCCCTCCAAGAGCCGTGGGAGCAAGTCATTTTAATCCTCTGAACCTCAGTTTCCTTATCGGCAAGATGGAGATCCTGACAGCTGCTCAGCCTACTTTTTAAAGTTGTCATGAGAATCAGAAAAAGTGTATCAGATAACCATTCCATGTTATATATACACCCTCTTCAAAATGTAAGAAAAGTGTGGGCTTGATATTCTTGTCCTCAATGGGATGTATTTTCTGTGTGGGGGGACCGTAGGCATCATCTTCAGATTCAGGGGTTGGTTCTCCTTTAGTTTAGAAGAGAATTGTGTTATCCTAGGGCTAGAAGTAACCCTAAAGGTTACTGGGTGTGCACCCATTGGACTACAGTAGCAAGACCTGAGTCTTAGGGAGGTTGAGTGTCTTGCCCAGATTATGCTCCTAGAGATGGACCACAGGTGTTGCCCAAACTCCAGTTTTCTCTTCTTTCAATGAGGCATCTGCCTGTTGGGGACCCCAGGCATTGTCAGCTTTGTGTCAGACCCTTTGCAGAGCTGTGTATGGGGAAGGGGGAGAATAATGCAGTGCTTTCTTTTGGCAACAGGAATTAAAGGACATTGTTCTTTACCTTTGTGATGCCAGCACCACGCTCTGGGCCTTTCTGGGTGTCTTCCCTTTGGCTTGCCGGACCTTCCAGAAGCATGACTTCTGTTACAGGTACAGTGGTAGTTCTGGCTGTTGAAGTAGAAGTTCTAGTTCACATCCTCATTCAACAAATACTTACTGGATTCTTAGAACGTGCCAGGCCCTCCTCCCCTCCTCTAGCCTGGTGTTACAGCATGAAGAAGACAGATAAGTCTCCGCTTGTGTGGTTCCTGCATTTTAAAAGCATTCTCATCTTTGACTAAAAACAGGGTAGGGAAGGAAAAAACACCAGCCAAGAATAAGGCAGTTCCAATTCAGTTCTGTTTTGTTTCAAATCCCCTGTCAGGCACAAGGGAGTAACAGACCATAAGAAGCGGTCTGGGGACTGTAGCCCCCAGCCCAGGGGAGAGCACACGCAGAGAGACAATGAGATATGCTCACATGTGGGGCTGGCTATTGTGGCCACACATTATGAAGTGCCCTGGGAACAGGAGGGAGGCAGATTTCTGTCTGGTAAAATAAGAGAGGGTTTCATGGTGACACTTAAATGAGCTCTGCAAGGATGAGCAAGAACCTTCCAGACAGAAAGATTGCAGTGGTGGGAAGGGCATTCCAGGCAGCAGGCGCAGGGAAAGTTTGAGGGCCTACAGTGTGTTCTGGGGAGAGCCAGGAAATGGAGGGGGACATGAGATGGGGGTAGGGGGAGACTGGGACAGCAGGAAATGGAACAGGTAACAGAAAGAGACAGCTCTGGGGATGGTGGGAGAAGTCAGATGCTGAGGAGCTTTGAATGCACTGGCAGGGAGTGGGGCCCTTATTCTGGAGGCAGGGGCCTCTGGAAGCTTTTATCCAAAGAAGTCATAGAAAGATCCTGTTGGGATGAAGAAGATGTAGAGGAGGATACGTGGCAGGGAGGGAGACCCTCTGTCCTCTTACCACCATGAGTATCTGTCTGTTCCTTGTGCAGTGAGAAAGTGGTACACGGCCTGGGCTGGTAAATTGCATGTTGCCTGGCAACAGTAGGGGGTGCCTGTTCTCAGTGGCCTCTGGCCATTGCTCTTGCCAGGCATCTCTCCCCACTGCTCAAAGGAGTTTCTGGGAGCTGCCAGGTCCAGCCAGCCAGCCAGCCGTCCACTCAGTCACTTACTTGCCCATTCAAGAAAACATTTATCTAGTGCTGCCATGTGCCAGAGATGGCAGCTGGTGCTCTGGATCTCCCCAGCTCATGAAAATCCGACATTAGAACTGATCAGCCTCCCAGAAGGTGTTAGAATAAAGTGCTGGTCAACACCATTCCTCAGAAGAAAGGGGTCAGGATGGGACCGTAGCTATCTCCTTTTTAAAAAGGTATCTTCTCTCACAGTAAATGTGAATGCATGTAGGAAATGTGGAAAAATGCCAAAAGGTAGGATGTTAAAGTCACTATGATAGATAATACTCTTAGATGTTTGTACCCTGCTTATTTTCACTTATCATAGGCATTGTCCCATTTTGCTAAAGCATCTTCCCAAATGTGGCAGATTGCTTTGGAAAGGGGCTTTGGAGATAGGAGGTAAGTTTTGGGAGCACTGACTCTCTTACAAGGGGCAGCGGGTGCGGGGAACAGCTCCACCCCTCAGAGGGTGAGGAGGAAGAAGGGAAAACACTTGACTGTAAGTGACACTACCTTTGACCCAAAACAGCCTGGGACTTGCCCAGCCTGTTCAAGCTGTGCTAGAGGCCAGGAACACCCACTGAGCAAATGCAGCAACCTGGGTTTTTCTCCAGAGCCCTCTGGAAGGAGTTACAGTCGCCAGGCAGCTCTTTAACAAATCCCTCTCTTAATAACCTCTCCTTCCTCTCAGATACACTCAGGTATATTTGAGTATCTCTCTCCCTGTCCTTTAATCTTATGAATGAGTAATACATTCATATGGTTCAGCATTTACAAGGCTTAAAATATATGATGAAAATTCTTCCTCTCCCACTCCCCTGGTTTTATTCCTCACACAACCATTTTTGTTAGTTTCTTGTGGAACTTTCCAGAGAGATGCATATAAATGTGTGTACAAATAAATATAATACAAGCAAAATGTACATATCACCCCTTCCCCTTTTAAGTCTAATGCTGGCATATTTTCAGTGCTGTGTGTACTGTCTGCATTTTATTTTTAAACTTAATGTATACATTATCAGTGCATAAAGCACTCTCAATCTTTGGCATGGCTGGATAGAATTGCATTGTATTGTACAGATTCCAGACCCCATAGATGGACCTTTAGGGTTTTTTTTCAGTTATTTGCTATTACAGAAAAAAATGCTACAAAGAATAACTTTGCACACACATCATTTTGCACCTTTGCAAGTATATCTGAGGAATAAATTCCTAGAAGCGTAATTGCAAGAATGGATGGCTTGTGCATTTTTTAGTTTTCATAGATCTCACCAAGTCACCCTCCTGTTGGGACAAATAGGGGTTGCTCTAACTTGCTCTTCCACCAGCAATACATCCTGGCGACCCCTGAATCTGGGTGAAACTGCCCTCTCTGACTCCTTGTAGGTACCATGCCATGGGACTAATAAGGCCTGCCTCTTTTGGCCTGATTACCTCTGCTACATATGACACTATACTAGCATAGAATTTGCCCATCAGTTGACAGACAAGTGCCTACAGAGTACCTGCTACAAATTCAGCACCATCCTAAACACTTAGGCCACAGTTCGGCTTTAGGAAGCCTAAGACATCCAGAGGAAGAACCACCACAGAGGAGAGGCGGCTGCATTTCGAGGTGTATGGACGACATGTTCTGAGAGCTGTGCGTCTAGTTCTGGGAAGGAGTGATCACATGGGTGGACGTGATCAGGAAGCTGGTGGCCGGGATGCAGAGTCTGAATCTGAACTGGGAAGGGGTGAGTGTGAGGTGTGAGGTTGCCAAGGTGAGAAACAAGTCAGCTGCTCTGTGCCAGGGGTGGCTCTCCCTGCAGTTAGGGTTTCATGTCACAGGAGGTAGGGAGCAAGAAAAAAGGGAGACCTTGTGTTTGTTTCTCACACCTCAGAAAGTCCTGGGTGGCCCTCTTGTTGCTCTGTTAGAATGAGCCTGTCTGGCCTTGGCTTCCTGTCTGAAAGGGGGACATAGCTACAGGTTACTTCCTGTGATGCTCTTTGTGGGACCAGCCGCAACGGGCCAATCTGGGGTGAGCCTGGAGAAGAGCCAGGGTGGTCCTAGGAGAAAACTGTTGTGGTGGTGATTTAGGAGCAAGAAATGGACCTTCCCGCTCCCATGGGTTTGCTTTGCTTTTTCTGCCGAAGTGTGTATTTATGAACTAATCCAGCCGTTTACCCATGTGTGCCTCCACAGGCTAGCCTCCTTTTATGAAATAGCAATTCCCGAACTGGAGTCTGCAATTAAGAAGAGGAGGCTTGAAGATAGCAAGTGAGACAGGACAAAACTTGGTGTTACTGTGGGAGAGAGGGGCCCCGAGCATGGACCCTGCCTTCCCTGGCCTTCAGCATCCCCATCTCTAAGAAAAGGGGTGGGACCGAGGCCCGTGCAGCTTTAGCTTGTGTGTCCCTACCCAGTAGCCTCCTGGCCCCTGCATTTAAGCCTTTTCCTCTCAGCTGTCCCTCCAAGCTTTTTTGTGGGGGAGGGCCGTGGGGCTGGGGGACACACCTGCAAATACCGGGAATAAGCTCCCTGGTGCCTTTGTGTCTCCCAGATCTCTATTTCTCTTCTCTCTCTGGGCCTTCAAAGGCTGCTAGGTGACCTGTGGCAGAGGCTGTCCCATTCCAGGAAGAAGCTACTGGAGATTTTTCACATCCTCATGAACCAAATCTGCCTTCTCCCTGTCCTAGAAAGCAGGTAAGCCCTGGGAGCCCCTGCCCAGGTGGGAGGCCACCTTCCCAATCCGAGCAGTGGCATTTCCTTCATTTCCTCTGCTGCTCCCCTGCTCTGGGGTTGCTGAGAAGAGATGAGAAACCAAGAACAATGCCTCTCTCCTCCAACTGGCCAGAGGCCTGACGGGATCAGGACAGGCAGGCAGGGAAGGGGGCTGCAAATAATTTGCATCACGTGAGTCGTCTTCCCTGGTGTCTTGTTCTAGCTGTGACAACATTCATGGCTTCATCGAAGAGTTCCTTCAGATCTTCAGTTCCCTGCTGCAGGAGAAGAGGTGAGTACGGCTGGGCTGGGACCAGCAGTGGCCTGCCCACCAGTCCCCAGGAGGCCTTCTGTACCAGAGCTGCTGCCATATGCTCACCACGGCCTACAGTTCTGGAATTTTGGTTGGACAGCAGGCACGGGGAATGGGCTGCAGCAGACCAGTGTCCCTGTGGCCCCAGCCTTGTGCCTTCTGTCTGCTCTCTGCCCCCCAGGTTCCTCCGGGACTATGACGCACTCTCCCCTGTGGCCGATGATGTCAGCTTGCTGCAGCAGGCCTCATCAGTCTTGTATCCTTCCAGCGCAGCCAGTGGGATGGGGCCCGGCCTGGTCAGGCTGGAGATGGGCTGCTAGAGCCCAGAGAGGAGGAAGGAGGGTGAGCCCCCAAACACACTGGTCAGCCAAGGCCGCAGCCCCTGTTTTTAGAGGAGCTAGGTACAGTCCTGCTTTTTCTAGATGTTTACTGAGTGTCTAGGCCTGTGTGACCCAGATGGACTCAGCCCCGCCCTCACGGACCACACTGTGGGAGGGGAAACGGATAGGCCAAAAGGCAGTTGGAGTGTCCTATGGGAGAGATTCCGAGGGCAGGGAAACCAAGGGAGGCACCTGATCCACCAGAGCTCGGGGCAGAGCTATCAGAGAAAGGTGATGTCCAAGCTGAGGGCAGAAGGACCAGGATGTGACCAAGCCCAGAGCTAAGTGTTCCCAGTGGACAGAGGACAGAGAACAGCCCATCTGAGGAGCCCGCATTCGTGTAGATGGCAGGGTGGGGCCTAAGGAAAGGGGTCTAGTGGAGGGGCTCCCAGCTGAGCCGGGACCCAGAGGACCTGCATGGCTCTGGATTGACCAAAACTGAAAAGTCCTGCGAGCACTGGGGTGTCATGGAAGAGTGTGAAGAGTAACGGAGTTAGTTTTATACTGTGGAGAAGCCCCACCTGGCACAAGGAGAACGGACTGGCCTGGGACCTCCCTGAGGCCACAGGCTGGTGAGAATGCTGTTACTGGCATGCGGGCATGGCCCGTCGGGGTCTGGATTAGAAGTGGATGAGGGGATCTAGGGCAACTTCTGGATGTCTGGCTTTGCAGTGCCCGGGGTGATGGAGGGAGGAAGGACAGGGAAGAAGGTCCTGTGGACCGTTTTGGTGGCTGGGGTAGGTTGCTTGGTCCTGCCTCAGAAACACCCTGTGGCCCCCCCAGCCTTTGCGGAAAGCCCTCAGCTGGCTGGACAGGAAACCCGGGTCAGTGCCCCCATCAGGCCCTCCTCCTAAGGGTCAGTACTGAGGTTAGCAGCAGCCAGCTCATCCTAATGCCACGTCCCAGGATGCTCTGATGCCAGCCCCTGGCCCTGTCTTTACCCAGAGCTGCTTCCTGCTGTATTTCCAGCAGGTACTGGGTTTTGAGGCCAGTGTGGCAGTGGTCTGACATGTTTCTGCTCACAGCCCAGGTGCCCACGATGCCCACTGGGTGTAGTCCAGACAGCCCCTGGCAGGAGCCACATGGTCAGATGTTGAGGAGGGATCAAGAAATTAGGCTGCTTCAGAGCTGAGGAGGCAGAAAAGGCTGTGGCATCTGAGAGAGAGACACCTTAACACGTCCTTGCAGGGACGAGACACGGACAGCCTACATCCTCCAAGCGGTTGAAAGTGCATGGGAAGGGGTGGGCCGACAGAAAGCCACAGATGCAAAAGATCCATCGGTGGCCGAGGATCCAAATGGGGTCTTGGCAGCGGCAGAGCCAGTCAGCGGATTGTCACCACATCCAGAGAACTTGGAGCAAGAGGTGTGTGTCTGGAACAGCGCTTTCCCCTGCTTCCCCTGCCCCCCATCTGAGATGCCAGGGCAGTGGGGAACCTCCCTTATTTGTTTCTGCTCTCAGAGCAAAAAGTTCCTTTTGGAACTGGCAGTCTCGAGCTGCTGGTCAGCTCCATGCTGCCTCTAGGAAGGGCATGCTGGCCTGGGCGCCAGGCAAGAGCATGTCACTTAAGCTGTCAGGCTTGTTTGCCCTCTAGGAAGTGAGGCCATGGAGCTTGTTCCCTGTGCAGCCCTTGCTGGAGCTCTCCTCTGCACAGATCACCGTGCAGCTGCTTTGGTCCCAGCCGGGAGCAATGCCTGGTCTCCCTGCTGGGCCTTCCCGAAGCCCCTCCAGAGGACTGCAGGGCTCTGCTAAGCAAGGCGGCAAGCCTCTGATCCGGGGCTCTCTCCGCAGGCTTCCCCAGAACCCGCCAAGGCTGTGCCTGCACTGACGGGCCAGTGCGCCCAGCACTCTTCCCTGCTCTGTTGGAGGCAGCATGACATGGGGATTAAGACCACATAGTCTCGGGTCAGGCAGCTCAGGGATGCGTCCTGGTTCTGCCACTCACCAACTGTGTGGCCTAGGCGTGTCACTCACTCCAGGCCTTGGTCCCTCATCAGTAAGGGGGCATGGTCCCTGTCCCGGCTGTTGTGACGCTGGCATTCCCGCGGCGGCGGTGGGGAGTGCTCTGAGCCTGAGCCCTCCTGCTCTTTTAACAGACACTTTTCTTCTTCCTGTTGGACCTCAGGCCCCGTGACTGTCGCAGGGCCTTGGAGAATTACAGCCCCTCTGCCTTGTCCCACCCTGTTCCCCATTTGGCTTCTTACCTGAGACATGGAGGGTTTGTATTGTTTTTTTGATTTGAGAATCTCCTGAAATGATAAGCCTAACAAAATTAAGCCACATCAAGCAGGATATAGACTGAATCCCCTTTGGTGAAAAGAATGTAATTATAGGAGAGCGTCTCCACAGTCCAGGCCCGGCGGTTGTCGTTCTCCTCCAACGTCAGCCATCAGCTTGTCAGAGCCAGGACAGGACCTTGGTTTGTAGAAGCCATGGCCGTTTATAGGGTACCAAGTCCACGCCGGGCCCAGTGCTCAGTGCTTTATGTCCATTAGCTCTTTGAACTATTTAAAACAACCCCATAAGGTAGGTGGTAACATGCCCGTTTCGTAAGGAAAACCTGAGGTTCAGAGAATGGAGGCGACCTGCCTAGTCACATGGCCAAGAGTAGCTCATCCAGTAAGTTGTCGAGCCCCCTTTTCACAGGGCAGACTTGAGTCACGTGGCTGAGGTCCTGCAGCCAGGAGAGCAGAGCCAGGACTCAGACCAGGTCCTCTGAATACCTCGTGCTGTTTGGGGCCTGTTGCCTTATCCCCCACCCAGCCTAGCCTTCCCCTCGGTTACACCAGCTCTCTCCACAGTGCATGGGTGCAGCTGCGGCCCTGGGGCCCCCCGTGGGTGGTGTGGAGCTGGACTCGCTCATCTCCCAAGTGAAGGACCTGCTGCCAGACCTTGGTGAGGGCTTCATCCTGGCCTGCCTGGAGCACTACAGCTACGAGCCGGAGCAGGTGATCAACAACATCCTGGAGGAGCGGCTGGCCCCCGCCCTCAGCCAGCTGGACCGCACCCTGGACAGGTGGGAGGAGGCTCATGGCACCCCCACTGCCTCTGGGGGCCCTTTCTGGGCCTTTTCTTAGCTCCCCTGACTCCCACTCTTCCTTCCCTCGTGTACCAGGACTCAGCTTGCTCTCCCTTCCCCCCAGCAGCGTTTCCCAACCATTTAAATTGATGTCCTCTAGGCCCCCAAGAGGTTCTCACATGCCCCCTCCAGGGCAGAGACTGTGCACATCCCTGCTGCACCTTGTGGGAAGGCTGACTAGAGCATGGGCTGTGGCAAAGGGGTTGCTGGCTTGTCCCGTCACTGCCACCTTCCCAGGAGATGCCAAGGGAAGATGGCCAAAGCTTCTCACTTCCTTCACATCTACCCTTTCTGAGTTTGGCCCTGCTTCCCTGCAGGCCTGTTGGGCAGCAGGAATGAGTGCATGATTGGGTGTTTCTTCCACAAACAAATGTCTATCGAATGAATGAATGAAAAGTTAGCTCTGCCTTTGGCCAAATTCTTCTGCCTCTGAGCCCATTTTACAGGTGTGGGGTCTGAGGCACAGAGAGGTTGAGTGACCTGTGGGGACCTATCTTATAGGGCTGTTGTGAGCATTAAATGAGGGAGGGAACTTTTAAGAAAATCTGTATGAATGGCACATGGGACTGAGGGGGAGCTTGGTGTGTGGTGTGGCTGCACAGCCAGGTAGGCGCCCAGTAGGGCAGGTGATCAGATGGTGTCTGAGGTGTGGTGGTTGAAGGGGAGCAGAGAATCTGATAGATGTCACATGGTAGGGGAAATGGCTCAGGCAGGCATCAGCTGGCAAGTCTCCCTTACACTGATTTCTCTGCTGCCCCCAGACAGATAAAGCCAGACCCAACGCCCCTGCTGACATCTCGTCACAACATCTTCCAGAACGATGAGTTTGACGTGTTCAGCAGAGACTCAGTGGACATGAGCCGCGTGCTCAAGGGCAAGAGGTGAGTGCAGTGGACTGCGGCGTGCCAGGCATCATGACTGCAAGTGCAGCAAGTAAGTCAAGAAAAATGAAGGGCTCTGTCTGTATGAGACTGGCCTGAGTTTTGGCCAAGGGCTCCCGAAGGCGGCCAAGGGCTCCCGAAGGCAGCCAAGGGCCTGTGTGCCCCTAGCAGGCAAGGGTAGGTTCTTTAATGACTATGCTTTCGGTTCTAACTGCATAGCATGGTTTTTAGTGAATCCTCCTTGTTGATAGCAAAACGTCAGAGGAGTCCAAACTATCTCCCTCTTTCCTTTTATGTCTTTGGATGTTTTGGTCATCAAATCTCTGGATGGTAGAGCTAGGCAGTGCTTCCCAGAATCTTGACCTGATTTTCTCCATTCTAGGACAAAATGGGAAAATTAAGGACTGTACCGAGTGAGCTTTTCAGAAGGCGAACACATTGCATTTTAAGGCCTTTTTGCTTATTTCTTGTTTATGTCCTTCCTACTTTCATGGCATCGAAAAGTCCATTCATAATTCATTCATTCAATAAGTATTTTCTCAGTGCTTACAGCATTCTAGGCCTGGGTATATGAGGTGCTGGGGATGTAATGGGGAGTAAAACATGCATGACCCCTGCCCATGTGGAGTTTGTGCTGATCAGTTCATCAGACAAGCAATGTCAAGTTGCAAATAGAGCAAGCGTCATAAGGTGAAGGTGTGCGGACTTCTGAGCCTCCGGTAGGGGCTTCAGTCCAGGCAGGAAGGCTCCTCTGAGGAAATTACATGGAACCAAGAATGGAAGGGTCAATTCTGCAAAGCGGGGAAGGGGAAGCTTTCCAAATGGAGTGGACAGCAGTGGCAGTGGCCCTGAGGCTGCAGGGAGCATGGTGAGGGTCCCATGAGCCAACCCATCTTGTGTTTTGGAAAAATCGGCAGGCTCTGGGATGGAGATGCATTGGAGGGCGCAGGGGTCAGTAACAATGGTAGAGAGAACGGCATATTGGAGAATGCCAAAATACGACGTTGACAACATTATGCTCATCCCCCAAAGTTCTCCCCGTTGGTATTGGTTCATGAATCCAGAAATCTGTGAACAGCCAGGTAAGTACAGCCTGCCTTTTTTCGCCATCATATAGCTGGAGATGGTGAGGTTCAGAGGTAGGCAGGCCTGCCTCGTTCTTATAAGCAGCCCAGTGGCACAGTTGCAAGCTGCTGCTTGGGGAGGGCCTTGTGCTATTCCCCAGGGATGTCCAGTGCTGGGAACTTGGCTGACTGAGGGCTTGGGGAGTGAGCACAAGGCAGCTATAAAGCCCATCTAGCTGGCTGGACAGGAGGCAACTGTAAACCGCTTAGTCACACACATTGCGACATCCCCGGGTCCCAGGCCAGGGATGTCACCCTGCGTCAGTGGCCACTGTTTCAGGCCAGAATGACCCTCTGCAGTTCCTACTGTGGGGAGAGGGGCCGATGAGGAGGGCTGTGCCCTGCTCCAGGCTGCTAGGCAGAGACTGGCTGGGAAATGTTTACTGAACTCATTGTGCTGGGTAGCCCAGGGACTGGGGATTGCAAAGAGGCAAAGCCTCCATTCATGTGTTCACTATTCATTTATTTATTCAGCAAATATTTATTAAGCGTTTTACTAGTGCCAGATCCTGTGCTAGACACTAGGGAGACAAGGTAAACAGGATGCCCAGGCCTCACCCTCAAATGGTACAGAGCCCATGGTAAGGCCTCAGACCATTAAACAAGCAGCAACACAGTATGAGAGGTGCTAGGATGGGGCAAACAGGACCTCCACGGGGACACCTGTCCTGACCTGGGCAGGGTAGAGGGGCAGTTCCCTCAGGGAGCACATAGAAAATTAGCACAGGCTGGTCACATTTGAGTTAAAATATGTGTGTTATTTAATCAGATGGGGTACACTCAGTGGCTCAAGTAATAGGGTGATGTGTTCTATCGCATGTTGGGAGTTGTCGGGTAGGCGGTCTGGGCTTGGTTCGCCAGTACTGAGGCCACATCATCAAGGTACCTTTTTCCATTTCTTGGAGCTGGGTCCCTCAAGGCCACCGGGTGGCTGCAGCTGTTTCAGCTGTGCCCTCCAGAAATGACAGTGCCAAGAGGAAGTCGGGACCGGGTCTTAGAGACCAAGAAACCTTTCCCAAAAGTCTTCAGATTCCCCTCCCATCTTAATGGGGACCTGAGGCACAGAGGTGAGGTACAGGGCTCCAGGAGAAGGCAGGGAGGGTGAAAGCCCTGAACAAAATGAGAGTCTGTGAGAGTGGGGGTGAGGTGGCGGGTGGGCAGAACCTAGGCTCATGTGTGGAGGTGTAGCCTATCTACATGAAGGAGGTGATGTCTAGGAGAAGGTCAGGTTCTAACTCCTTTGGACTGAATAGTGGTACCCTGTAAAATAAGTATTTGTCCTCAAAAAAGTTTCTATGGCCAAAAATTCCTGTGCCTCTGCTTCTTGGAAAGTCACAGAGTACATTAGTGCACTAAAGGCTCTGACAAGTCCTGCAGTAAAAGAAATAGAATTCACTTCGTTGAGCCCAGTGGGTGCCATGTTCACTTCTAGTCATCATCTTTCATCCTCGCATCATCCCTGGGAGGCAGAACTAAGACTTGACAGGGATAAGGGACTTGCCAGTAGTCACACCGTTGAGGAAGTAGCTGGCAGACCATGAGAAGGTTGCTCTGCCTCTATGGATTCCCTGATTCCTCACCTGGAAAAGGAGGGGTTTATTGCCTCTGAAAACACTTTAGAAGTTCAAAGGTAGGAGTCACCCCTCTAAGGGCCAATTTGAGCTGGGCCTTGAAGCATAGGTTAGAGGAAGAGCGAGGGGAAGGGTGGCTGGGCTTCAGGGACGTCCCGGGCTTGCTTGTCTCACAGGAGGCCAAGGAAACAGCCTGCTCCAAAGAAGTCTCTGAAGCCCCTGTTGCCTGTATTTCCAGACATGGCTGATGTTCTGGCCTTCAGGCGGATCTTCTGGCTGGTTCTACCTCTGGTTTTTCTTTTCCTCTCTGGCTCCAAATGATGTCAGAAGCCAAAGCCCCACCTCCTTGGATGGGGTGCCCAGGGGGCCAGGCTCACTGTCCCTGTGTCCTCTCCACCCCTCCTTTACCTGGCGTGGGTGGGCAGCATCTGAAGGCTTCTCTGCCTGGCCCTGCCAGAGAGCCCCATAACAAAAGGCCACATGGTGGGAAGGAACTGCCCTGCCAACCAGAACTGAGGGCTGCATGGACCAGGAGCCATGGGATGGGCCAGAAAGGACAGTGACACCTCTCATTCATCCTTGGTCCCTTGGCCCAGCATAGGCCTTGGCACCTGGACAGGCCCTCAGGAAACATGTTGAATGAATGGATGTGCTCCTTCCAGTGGCACCAGCTACCTGCACAAGCTTGGGCCCCTTTCACTTGCTCTCTGCCTCTTTCCTCTCCAGCCCCCCACAGGCACAGGCTTCCTTTCCTGGTATGATATAAAAGATTCCTGTGGACCGAGAAGTCTCCCTGGTCTACATCAGACATCCACCTTCCCTCCCCACCCGCGAGCCTGCATTACCGTTTCTCCAGACCCCAACCTAGAGCCCCTGAGCCAGAGTTCATTTCATGGTGGCTGCCATTTGCCTATCTGTCACCGTTACTGGACTGTGAGTTCCATGAGGACAGAGCCATCTTACTCTTTTCTGAATCATTTCCCAGCTCAGCCTAGTGCCCTACCGGCACATAGTAGCCCCTTAGTAAAGACTGTTGAAGGAAGCCAAATCCTATAACCCGCCCCACTGGGGGCTGCAGTCCTGCCCTGCCCCAGGCTTTCAGGCAGACAGCCTGACAGACCCAGGCGCCTGCCCCTCCCTATATCAGAAGTCAGTTAATAGGTTTTTATGGAAGCTGGGTATGACTTTGTGTATCTTTCTTTTTTTGCTCCCCTACCCTTGATGCATTCCAGAAACCTGATTTCACAGTTAAGCTGGATTTTCTTGCCTGGCATCTCATATTGATTTTCCCCTGCAGGGCTAGAAACTACATTCCACAGTCGTCTGTGTGTCTGACAAGCCAGGTTTTTCTAACAGATTTGCAAAGCCATAAGTCAAGGGGCCTGAGTCCCCACTGCGGCTGGACTAGGGCTCACTGCGATCCTAAGCCCATCCTCCCCTTCCCTCCACTGTACCCAAGTCATGACAGGCCTTGACCTTTCAGACTTTTTTCCCGTGCAATCTGACATGGATGGTTGTAGAACAGATAGAAGGCCACTGTGGTGAAGCAGAGGTGAGAGGAAACAGCCAGGACCCCTCCTTGCCCTACATACCCAAGAGGTTCCCTAGAGGTCACCTGGGCTCAGTAAGAAAGCCCAAGGACTCTTTCTTAAATCTGTGTTTGTTTTAAAAGATTCACATAAGCCCAGGCCCCTCCTAGGAGTAACCATTGCTATTTGGTGGGGGGCTCACTAGCCCCGTCTCTGTGCGGGCACAGACCTAGATCCGCACGCGCCCACAGGAGCAGAGAGGTGGTGTGGCCTGCTTCCTGCTCTCTCTTCCCATGGGGTCATGCTGTCGGCATTTTTCTGTAGCTTGCTTTTTGCCTCTGGAATAAGTCTTGGAATTCTTCTCTGTCAGCACAGATAAATCGATGTCTCTCTGTAATACAGATGTGGCACATCATTTGGCCATTTTACTCCTGATGGACATTAGTTGCTTTCCATTTTTCACTGTTACAAACAATGCTGAGAAGAAAATCCCCAATCAGATCTTTGTGTGCATGGCCGCATTCCTCTAGGGTGGGCACCTAGAGGGGGAATTTCCTGGCTGAAGGGTGGGCATGTTTTACATGTTAACAGCTGCTCCTGATGCCCTCCAGAGTGGCTGGCCTGGTCACTCGGGCCCCAGCCGTGGTGAGTCCCGCCCTTCCCACCCCAGCCCATGCTTGATATCGGTTGTCTCCATGCAGGCCTGAGTCGGGGAGAAGGGAGCCGTGGTCTCTCTGGACCCTCCCACCCCACAGCCTTCAAAGCCTGATGGTTTTCTTTCCCCTCTTCTCGATGTTGCCTCTGGCTGCCAGGAAGGAGGAGAACACGCGGAGCCTGCTGAACGACAAGCGGGAGGTGGCAGCGCAGCGGCAGCGCTACGAACAGTACAGCGTGGTGGTGGAGGAGGTGGGTGTCCCGAGGCCCCTGGGCCAGTACTGGGCGGGGGACACTGCCAGCCCCTGGGCCCCTCCGACCCACGCTTGTGCCGTTCAGGTGCTGCTGCAGCCAGGTGAGAGCCTGTCTTCCCTGGGTGGCGACTATGAGGACGAGTACGATGACACATACGATGGCAACCAGGTGGGCGCCAATGACGCCGACTCGGATGACGAGCTCATCAGCCGCAGGTGAGGCCACAGCAGGGCTGAGGGTGAGCGCTGGGGCAGAGTGGCCCTTCCGTGGCCTCTGGGGTACACAGATGGGGAAGCCAAGGCCCCAATCACGCGAGCAAAGGCAGTGGGAGAACCAGGGTCCAAACCCGGGCCTCCTGACCCCTCGTCCAGAGCTGCCACCCCCGCCAGCCAGGTGGTCCGGCCCCCCTGAGTGGGGCGGCCTGTTTGGTTTCATGCAGGACTCGTACTGTCTGCTTCTTGATTGCTCCCCGTGCAGTGTTAGGGGGGATCCCCAGTACAGATGAAAGCAGAGCTCCTAACCAGAGAGGCCTGGGGCCCCCCAGCGCAGCCTCCAGACGCTGGGGCCCTCAAGGAGTCTGGGGGCCGGAGCAAAGCTGCTCTGGAAAGCACTGTGGCTTTTCCTGGCCTCCTGAGCCCCTCACGTCCTGGCGGCCCCCCCTTACTCCGCCCAATTCCCTTCTCCCTGAGGCTCTCTTTCCAAGTTTAATCCAGTCTTTGATCTCACTTTCTCTCTAACCCCTCAGGCCCTTCACCATCCCTCAGGTGCTGAGAGACAAAGTGCCCAGAGAAGGGCAGGAGGAGGACGAGGAGGAGGCGGCGGAGGATGAGGCCCCCAAGGTACCTCCCTTGCAGGTGGCAGGGGACGGGGAGGGTGCAGGCCTGAAGGGCAAACCACCCCTCCCTGCCTCAGAGAAGAGGGGCTCCTATGAGCCCAGGGGTCTGCTTGGAGAACGACTAGCTTAGAACTTGCCTCCACTGCCCAGTGAGGGCCCAGGGATGGGTTAGAGGCAGGTCTTTGAGCCACTGGGTTTATTAGGCCCAGGAGCCAGGGTACCAAGAAAGGGGCAGCTGTCTGCCACTGTGCCCAGGATGGCGATTCCTAAAGTCAGAGAGGCTTTGGAACCAGGGCCCTTGGAGGTCATCTGAGCTGGTGGGTTTGAAATTTTTATTTTTTTAGCAGCTAAACTTTTTCTTCAAATGAGAAACTCAGCATATAAAACAGAAAAAAAGCGGCATTGCTCAGGTTGAATGGAGTGGCATCTGGGGACCCCAGATCCCCTCGTGCCCTTCCACCAGGGTGACAAAATCAGATGAGTCTGGAACCAGGCAACCAAAGTGAATGAGCAGCGGGCCCGCTGCAGACAGCGCCTACAGGTGGGGACGCGCACACATGCCCTGCCCGAGGGCTCCTCAGAGCAAGTATAGGCCCCAGACTTCCAGGGCTTTCCCTTCTTCCCAGGCACGGGGTCAGCCCAGATTTTTATGTGAAATCTTCCAGTTTTCACTTGTCTGTCTGTGCTTTTTGAACAGCATGGGCCACCGTGGCCTGCCTGTAGTCCCCAGGTCGTAGCTCTTCCCCCCGCTCGCCTAGGCTCCTTGCCCCCTTGGCACAGAAAATGGTTTTCAAGAGTGGACACTCCCACAGCAAGTGGTGGCATGAGGATAAGTCAGCCTCCAGGCGCAGCGCTTTTGGCTTTCTGGGTCCTGTGTGGCCTCTCACGGGAGCCACCCTGGCCCGACCACCCCCCATTGCTTCCATGTGTCACCAGCACACTCCAGTTACAGTCCGCAGTCCGGCTGTGGCCCACCCGCTGCCATGCCCATCCGGGAAGCCTCAGGCCCTTCAGCTGCCTTCCCTTTGGGGAGGAGGGGGCAGGGGCAGAGGGGAGAGGCTTCTAGTGGAAAACTTGGACCAGAGCAAGCCCGGCTCCGTTCCAGGGCTCCCCCTGCCCACCGTGGCTGTCCCCTTCTCCCGGCATGGAGGCATTAGTGAGATTGAGTCAGGTGCAGCCTCACCACAGCTGAGGGAAATGGGACAGCTCCTGATTCCAGATTTCCTCTCCCTCCCTTCCCCAGCCTGACCATTTTGTGCAGGACCCTGCGGTGCTGAGGGAGAAAGCAGAAGCCAGGCGCATGGCCTTCCTTGCCAGGAAGGGGTAAGCATTTGAAGGACCTGCTTCTGGTTGGGGGGCACCCATCTGGGGAAGGCCCAGCCAGCCACCTCAGAAGCCCATGCATGAACTCCAAGTGCTTTATGTGTATTAATTCAGCTCTTACTGTAGCCCCATGAAGTAGCTGCTATTATTATTATCCTCATTTTACAGATGAGGAAACTGAAGCCCATCCCCATTCCCAGGCCCTCCTCCCCCCCTTGCTGTGTGCTCTGCTCAGGCCACTAGCTGATCCTCCCCACAGGTTAGCCAGGGGCCCGCCTGGCAGCAAGGCTCAAGGAGAAATCACCCCGGGCTGGCCAGAGACCCCACAGCTCTGCCCCTGCCAGGCTCCTTTCCTCCTTCCTCTGGAGGTTGGAATGTCGGTGTCCTTTCCCAGGGACCTCTGAGAAAGGCTGTGGGCTCTGCCAACCAGAGCCTCTTCCAGCTGATGGGTCGTCCTGGGGGTGCGTTTTCCTCCCTCAGACACCGGCAGGACAGCTCGACAGCTGTGGCAGGCGGCCCCCGGGGCCACGGGCAGAGCCGGGAGACAACCCAGGAACGCAGGAAGAAGGAAGCCAGCAAGGCGGCGCGGGCCAACCACAACCGGAGAACGATGGCCGACCGCAAGAGAAGCAAAGGCATGATTCCATCCTGAGGCCGCCGCGCGAGGGCCAGCGGGAGGCAGCAACGCCTGACCTGCCAGACTGGGTTCCCACAGCCTTGGGCCCCTCTACTAGTTGGTCCGCTGCAAGTTCAACATCACCCCTCAACAGCCTCAGCTTTGCAGCCCCTGAGAAGGCCGCCGCATTGTCCACCAGCCAGCGCGAGCGCCTTCTGCAGACCACACAGTGCCTTATCCTGCAGCAGAGGAACCCACGGGGCCACAAGCAGGTGAAAGGGACAGGGACGGAGCTCCGAGACAGGCCCCCCAGACCTCGTGCAGCAAGACACCGCTTCCCTTTTGCCCTGGATGGCTGGAAACCTCTATATTCAAAAACAAAAAAGGCCTGTGAATAAAGGTTTTGACCCTTTCAAGCAATGATCCATGATGTGCCTGTGACATGCTCCCCCTGGGTCCTGTTCTTCAGGGACAGCCGCTATCTGCAGAGGAAGACAGCAAGATGGACACTGTGCTCTTTTCATAGGCCTTTCGTGCTTGCCTGTCATTTTAACCCCTCCTGATGTTGCTCTGCCTTGCTGTGTGGCCCTAAGCATATCACTCCCCTCTCTGAGCCTCCACTCTCTGCCTGTGGAAGGAAGGGCTGAGGGTGTGAGGCCCAGCAGACCTTTCCATGATCTCATTTTGTCTCCACAACCTCCATCCTGGGAGGTAGGTACCATTTTCAGCCCCACAGGACAGATGAGGAAGGTGAGGCACAGAGTCAGGATTGCCTGCCCAGGCCACAGCTAAATAGCGGGAGACCAGGGGCAGGACACTCAGTCCGACCCCGGGTCTTTATAGGGTCCTAGGCCTTCGTTGGTGGTGTCATTCCCATCTCATAGCTGGCCTGAGGGTATCTGGCTAGGAGGAGAGGCAGTGCCAGAACTCGGTGCCTGGTTGTGCGTACACACCATTAAATCCTCCAAAATCGAAGAGTAGGAGACTGGAAGGAACAATTGCCAAGCCCTGTTGAAGTGAGTGGGACTCAGCCCCGCCCAGGCATGGCCGACTGGCTCCTGGAATGGCAGCAGCTTCCAGAGATCCCAATCCTGGGCCTCCAGAATGCTGCTGATCAGCAGCAGATCAATAGTGGGTCCTTTGCCGGGCCGATCCAAATCCAGCCTGGCCTGCAGTCCATCAGGAGAAGCCAGCGCCCCCACCCAGCTGGGCCCTGGCACATCACCCTAAAGGCTAGTACGCTTTATTTGCACGTGGTTAGGAGGAGCGTCTGAAGCAGTGAGGCAGACAGGCAGTCGACAAATTGTTCTCCTTAGGCCCAGCTGCACACGTGGGAATCAATAGCGATTCCTCTGAGTCTCTGGGTTGAGATGCAGAGCAGATACGGGGCGGTGTCCTCCCCTCACAGTGCCAAATTAGCTGAGGTCAGGCTCAGGGTCAGCCATCCTGACAGGCAGCAGGGAGACTGTTTCCTCTCGGGGCATTTGCCAGGGACTGAGCTCAATGGCAGGATCATTCCTGTTCTCTCTCACTGAGCTCCTCGGACTCAACTGTTGGCCCTGGCACCAGGCGAGGTGGGCGGGGGAAGCTCCTGGGCCTTGCCTGCCTTACCTGTTGCTGTTCATACGCCCCTTCTCACCTTCACTGTCGCCTGCATCCTGACCACCTGGAGCAGTGTTCAAGCCTCACATGCGCATCCTGAGTCAGAGGATGTGGGAAGACAGGCAGTTTTTCAAAATGTCCCTTGAGGAACTATGTACTTTCTCATTTCAGATCTTGAAGGCACCCTTTCAAGGAGGTTTTGCAAACAGCTCAGGGGTCATCCAGAATGGTGCTGGGAGGCACACCCCTCCACCTCTCAGGGCCTCAGTTTTCCCATCTGTAATGTTGGGTATTTTGGACCAGATCAATGGTTTCCACTTGGTGCCAATTAAATCCTCTGAGGAAGCCCCAAGGTTTAAGATGGGCAATGGCAGAAGTGTTATAAGTGAAGTGTGGTGGTGGCCCTGAACCCTGCCCGCTTGGTCACCAGGCCCCACCACTGCTATTATGGCTCCTGAGCAGGAATTTTCAAGTGTCTTCTCTGTACCCTGGCAGAGGGCATGACTATCACAGGCATTTCCCAGGAAGCTTTTAGGACCTTGTACCTTCAAGAGGAGTTAGGACTTGAGTATCTTTCTAGTCCATGAGTGGCAATAATGGCAGATGTGCTATGTGAGCAGTGGTTCTGTGCCTTTGTGAAGTGTGGGGAGCAGAGCTTGTCATTGTTTATAAAAGGGACCTTGGGAGCCCAGAGAGGGCAAGTAACTTGCCCAAAGCCAGTGGCAAGTTAGTGGCAGAGCCTGGATGCAGATCCTTCCTGAGTGACCCTCTCTGGCATCCAGGTGCCATCTGGAAGAGGAAATGACTGGCAAGAACCTACCTGTGCCTGCCACACCTGAAGCCTGCGTTAAATACTACAGGGAGGTAAACAAACAAAAAAACAAAAGTAAACCGACCAAAAATGCATGGGGGTGTTGTAGAACCACCCCTTGAAAATGATGTCAATTGAAACCCTGGTAGCATCATGAGAAACTAAATATTCAAGAATAAGATTTAAAAAGATAAATATATTTGAAAGCTAAATACATGATGGCAATGTACCATGATTGTGAAAATGTTAAGAAAGATATTTTTGCATACAGACCAAGTCTGGAAGGAAATGTACATAAATGAAAATGATGGTGAGACGATGACAACGTGTAATGAGAATAAAACCACTCACTGAGCACTTACCACCGCCAGAGCTTCTGCTGGGCTCTTTGATGGCATTATACTGTTTAATCCTCACCAGGCAGGTACAGATGAGAAGTCCAAGGTCAGGGAGAGTAGTGGACTTGCCTAAGGTCACACCATTAGCAGGTGACCGAGGAGGGATACAATCCTGGGATTGCCTCCTAAAGCCCATGCTCTTAACCCCTGAGCCACCTGCCGTTCCTCTTTCCCCCATACCCTCATCCTTGTTACTACTGTTCTTACAAAGAAAGAAAATACAAGAAAAATAGCTGCAGAACAAGAGAATGGGAAATTCCATTTCATCAGGCCAGGCCAACAGGACTCCAGTTACATGTATGTTGAACCATTTGTTACTGGCCCACAGAGCTCAGATGCTCTGTTCTATTTCTTTCACTTAGTGTTTTCAAATTCATTTATCCTTTCCTCTTTGTGTCTAGTCTGCCATTAAGCCCATTAATTAGCTTTTCATTTTTGAGTCCAATCCCTCTCCAGGGAAAGGAGAGAAAAGGCTGGCCCAGCGCATTCTCAGCTGAGACGCAGACAGCAGAGCCTGGGGGGCGCTGCGGCCTGGGAGGGGGCCGAGAGGCTGGGGTCAAAGGATCCAGGGTGAGTGAGGAAGAGGGCAAGTGAGTCCTAGGGTTGGGGCCACAGGCCATGCGAGGGCCTACACGTTTGTCCAGAGCAGCAGCCTGCCCTCAAGGTTTAGGACATGGACAGTCCACCCAGCTGGGAGGACCAAGGCCTGGGGGACAAGTTTGTCTGCTCAGCACATGTTCACCAAGGTCTGCTAGGTGCCAGGTACAGCACCAGGCTTGTGTGAGAAAGACCAGGCCCTCATGCTCATGGAGTTTGCAGTCCAAGAGAGTTGTGGCTGTCAAATAACACATCTTGGAAAAATGCTAACTCCTAATGAATAAGTTAATGAAGATACGAGTAGGCAAGGTCAACAGAAAGAAACTGAGAGTAAAGAAACTTTACAGCAGCGGTGGGTGGTGTTTGCAGTGTGGGGCAGCAGCTGAAAGGTCAACCAGGCCAAGGCAACGGGCGGAGGCTTTGCCACAGCTTTGCTAGGACACAATGGGGAGGCAGCCGGTGGAAAGAAGGGAAGACGAGGAGGAGAAGGAAAAAAATTGGGCCTCTCTGGGAAGGAAGTTGGCATTGAAGAGGAGTTCAGAGTTGAGAAGGAACGTCTGAACCCAGATCACCCTGGTGGGATGCCTAGGAGCCAAGGGGACACCTGAGCCCTAAGGGCCCACCTGCAGGAGGCTAGTCCCCAGTAAGGGGAAGATGGGCCGGGGGCCTCGTGGAGCTCTGCACATCAGGGCACGTCAGGCCAGCATCAGGCCTCGTCCAGCTCTCTGGGCGCTGGGACAGCAGGGAGGGGCCCTGACTGTGGCCAGAGGCTGTTGTTGCAATTCTGCAGCCTGAACCAAGGTAAAAATTTCAGTCTGAAGGTTACTCCCTCCAGCCCCGAGTGTGTTAGGGTGGGGTGGGCGGCAGGCCATGTCTTAAAATGAGCATGAAATTCCAACTTGACATCATACTGGAAATTCTCTTCCAACAGTCGATAATCATCAAGAGAATTCTACACATTGGCAGACTGCAGAGAGCCTGAAAGGGCATTTAGTCCAGAATTTCTCAACCTATTTAAACCTATTTAAATGCCCCAACCTCAGGCCCTGGTTTTTCAGATACCCCCACCTTCCCTGGGGGTGGGGAGGTTTGCCCGGCTTAAGAATTCACTGAGCTTCAGTGGGTCTCTCCCAACCACAGAGGTTCTATTTTTATATACTTTACTCACTGTGGTCTGAATTACCAGAGTAACTGATTCTTCTACTTTTCCAACTATGAAATTATGACACTGAATATGCTTTTCTGGCTGCATGAGCCAGAAAAGTGCTGGGGGGTGGAGTGAGCACCCTGACATTCCCTTAAGTGCTCTGCCATCCCCAAGACAGTAATTATGGTTTTCTCCTTAAAGTGGTTTTCACAGAAGAGCCTGGCAGAAAGGGAGCCCCCAGTGGGATGAGGACCAATCGTTCCTGTACATTTAGGAATATTATTTATGGAGCTTGCACACGGGCTCCCACCTTATCTCTGATCTACTTAGCATTCTTTCACATGCACATTCCTAGGCCACACAAATCTGTCCTTATTACTATTAATTTGTTCATAAACATGTCTTGGGGGGGAAAGGAGCACTGGATTAAGGGTCAGGAAGTCAGGGTCCAGGCCCTAGATTTCAACAAGCTCTGTGACTTTGGGTCAGTCCCTTGGCTTCTCTGGGCCTTGATTTCCTTTGTGTGAGAAGTGGGGGGTAATCATTCTTCCAGCCCTCTTACCTCATGGGCGCAGGTAATTGATGAGGGTCAGATGAGATCATGACTCCGGGGATACTCTGAAAGCAGGGAACCCCATTCAAATGGAAGAGAAGAAAACTGATGGGCAGCCCTGTCTACTCTGCACCTGGGGCAGTTTCCACTTCTTTCTTTTAATCACCCTGCCAGGAACCTCTCTGCACAAATGACCTGCTATTCCCGAGGGGTACATTTTTTCTTTTTTCTAGGAGAGCAAGGTACAGGCTTTTATTTAGAAATAAAGTGAGAGGGAAGAGCTCCTGGCTCACGCCAGGAGGGGACAAGAGAGCCCCCAAGGGGTACATTTTTAAATGTGGAATTCTGGGGTCGCAGGTTTAGAGCTGCCTCTAGCTGGATTTTTGTTGATAGTTCTCATCAGGACAGAATCAGGGGATGGTTTGAACTCCAAGGCTTTGCCTCCATGGTCAAGTGCTGTCGTGAAACAGCCTTCCCCCAGGCCCCAGCCTTGGGTGGGGCTTGGAAACTGTGGCAGCGAGACCCCCTGGAAGGGAGCTTGTTTGGAAGAGAGTGAGGCTAATGCCCCAGCCTTCTCACGGGCTCACCAGGTGCCATATGACAGATCCAGTGGGCAGGGCTCAGTCCCCAGGTCCAGCCAGCCTCTGTCACAGGAGAGGGGCACCAGATGCCGACCAGCCCTCTGACCTGCCAAAAGGGATGATGCAGTCTGTCACACCCGCAAAACCAGATTCCCCCACTCAGGAAGGGTCTGAACAGAAAGTCACTGGTCCCTCCCCCAGAGGATTAGCTCAGAGTAACATGCAATGGCTGGGCCAGAATGTTTTCCTGGGGATCAGGGCCCTCTGAATGGCCAGGGGTCTGTTTTGCTTTTGCCATTCAGAGTAGGGGGTAGGCTCTGGGGTCAGAACTCAGCTGGCCTCAGCCACGCCTTGGATCTGTGACTCTGAGCAAGGTGGCCTCACCTTGTAGGTGAGCCATAGTTGTCTTGTCTGTACATTGGAGACGTTGGCAGGGTGTCTGGGATAAAGTGTGTACAGTCCTAGCCCTCTGTGAGGCAGGCTAGTGAACTCACAGGGCCCTGCTTACAGGAACCCAGGAAAGGGGTGGCAGGTGCCTCCTACCAGTGCTCCAGCTGGCTTTCTGTGCACCCCATCTCTCACCTTCTCAGCATAGCTGCCCTGCCACCTCCAGGTTAGTCTTCCCAGAAACCTCTGGGCTCAGGATGGCCTGGACACACAGGAGCAAAGAAGAGAAGACAGGCAAAATCTAGCCTGGTAAGGGTGTGATGAGTACCCTGGGAGCCCAGAGGAGGTACCCTGCCCAGCTTTGTGGGACTGGTAATGTCCTCACTGGAGCCTTGAAACAAAGCCTGGTGACAGCTGTGGTTCTAAGCCTCATGTAGAGGTTCAGTCACTTGTTCACGGCTGAGCAGTGGCTGAGTCAGGGTTCAAACCCAAGTTTGCCAGCCTCCAAAGTTCTTATTTGCAGCCCCTTGGCTTTCCTACCTTCTTAGAGCTTGGCACTTGAATTAGGAGCCAGATAATTCCACATGTATGGAATTAGTATGGAAAAAGAGGGCCTATCACCTCCTGCATTCTAAACACCATATTTCTGTTGATAAAACCTATAGTTAAGTCATTCCATTGACAGAGGGGCAGGAGAAAGGAGAGGAGAGCAGGAAGCTGGGCAGAACTTATTTTTCAAATCTCCACTTTGCCATAGTCTCTCCTGTCTGCCTTAGAGGCTCCAATTTGAAGGAGATGTTTCGCTAGGAAAGCTTAGTGAGCTGAGGAGGTAAAACATCACGTGCAATTCCAGCCCCAGGGCAGGAAGTGGCCTCTGTGTTGGAGGCCTGTACAGGAGGGAGACAAGTCTGCTCAGACATCAGGAAGGGAGGAGGACTGACAGATAGGGGTGGCAGGTGCCTCCTACCAGTGCTCCAGCTGGCTTTCTGTGCACCCCATCTCTCACCTTCTCAGCATAGCTGCCCTGCCACCTCCAGGTTAGTCTTCCCAGAAACCTCTGGGCTCAGGATGGCCTGGACACACAGGAGCAAAGAAGAGAAGACAGGCAAAATCTAGCCTGGTAAGGGTGTGATGAGTACCCTGGGAGCCCAGAGGAGGTACCCTGCCCAGCTTTGTGGGACTGGTAATGTCCTCACTGGAGCCTTGAAACAAAGCCTGGTGACAGCTGTGGTTCTAAGCCTCATGTAGAGGTTCAGTCACTTGTTCACGGCTGAGCAGTGGCTGAGTCAGGGTTCAAACCCAAGTTTGCCAGCCTCCAAAGTTCTTATTTGCAGCCCCTTGGCTTTCCTACCTTCTTAGAGCTTGGCACTTGAATTAGGAGCCAGATAATTCCACATGTATGGAATTAGTAT